CTTATTGTATAAGTGAAGTTCACAATTATTTTTACTCATTTTCTTTATCCATGTAAGAAAAATTACAATCGCGCATTCATGTATTATGTGGTAATTTTTATACACGAAAAGTGTACAAGTTTTTAAATTCCATCATCATCATTATGCATTAGGTTCATTAAAAATTCACACCTAAGTGCGCGGCCCTCTCTGTATCGCCACAACGTGGTTTCCAGGATACCATCTCCTGCAGCGCAGGAAGCGGCAAACTTTTATAGTGCGGCTGATAAGTCTTGTTAGTTTACAAGCTTCTTCTCGTTATAAGATAAATATTCCTGCAGCAGGCTCGTCTCTTGAGACGAACTCCTAGGGCCAACGTTCATGATCTCTGGTTTAGCTTGACCTCAGCTTGAACTTCGGTGTGTTCCAAGCTTCCTAATTCTGTTGCAGCGCTTAATTTTTGCGATGAATCTTAACTCTTGTATTCACGTACGCAAAGTTCACGGGAAGGAACTGAGCTATTATGTACAGCTTATTTCAGGCATCTCTATTGCTCGCTCATCTTCACATTTGTTAATGCAAACGCTAACTACAATCTATTGATAAACGTCAGCGGCGCGAAATGAATTACCAGTAAAACTTTCGTGTTAGATTCTGAATAAATCCAATTCTGCTAGCAGTTCGATACCCTGAATTTGAAATGGGCTGCACATCTTCCTATAGTTGTCTGCATGATCTTATAGAAGTTAATCTACATGTTTCTAACATTGTATTTGTGAATCATTGACTACACTCTATCCTTATATACATGCGCTGTTTGAATCAATAATTGACATATCTGCTATATATAGTTTTTCCCCTTGAATACGAATTTTGAAAATAAGTTGTGAATAAACAAGATATCCTGGGGCCATACTATCAAAACTCGCTAAGTTAACGTAAGTACTTACGCTCTATTTTATTGTCTATGATTGGTGGATTTTGCTTGAAAGACCGTCAATATGATTGGCTGATGAACTTACGATCTCTTGACTTTTTGAAAGTATAGGCCCTGATACTTATCTTGCATGCTTTTTGACTGTTCCCCTCTTCACCACCCAGCACCGTCTTGCGTCTCAACATTCACTTTAGTGAGTGAAGTTGCAAAATTATTCCTGTTCTCCTCTTGCAAACTTGCATCAAATTACCCAATAAACTAATAAAACCCAGCCTTGTTCTCTCTGCTCATCTGTAAGTTACTGCGCGCACGGAGTCTAAATTCTAAATTCTTCTCAACTGCGGCATTGCATTGTTATTTTGTCATTGAAAACTTTTGAAAGTAATGAAAAAGCTTTGGAGTGACAAGAACAATTACTGCCGGCCATATGATGCTAAATTTCTTCTCTCTGTAGCGGGCGTCTATGATATACGAGTTTCTCGCACGTTATTATGTTGGGAACTTTGACGATCAAGTCCCTGCGCTTGAGAGGCCCAAAAACTAAATGACCATCGTATCACCATCGCTGCTTATGTTATTCACTCAATTATCTCGATGACTATTAATTACCGATGTGTCCTTTGCTTTATTGTTAGCACGTTTCGTACTTTGAGATAAGTGTTAATAATTTTTAGTTGATCTGCGTGATTTTTTTTGCGTCATCCGATTGGTGCGTTTAGCACCGTGTCACAAATGGTATTTAATGTAATTGGACTCATTATTTTTAAACCACTAACGTTATAAAACCTTTCTAAATTTTCTAATAATCTCTAATCAGATGTTTGATAAGCGGGTTTTCATAACGTCAAAGCAGAAAGCACAAATTTTGAGCGTTGTTGGAAATATCCGAATACGTCGACGCATATAGAATGGACCTGGAGTAAGAGTCGTGTCGTTTTCAGAATTTTAATTATAACTCAGTATAGTTATTTCCAAATGAAATTATATTTTAAAAAGAAATGTTGATATATTGAATTCTGTCGAATATATTCAACACCCGGAAATATGTACATGTGGTTCATCGCAATACAATCGCTCAGATGCAGGCGTGATCAAATAGCTCGTTCATTAATTAGCGAAATTAGCCGCTGTGATCAGCGGAAAATTTGTCTCGGATTTTGGTGGTGCAGCTCAGCTGGTCTCGACATCATTTATTGTGGCTTGAAAATTATGTAAACCTGATCGTGTTAAATTATGTTAACTCCGAATTTCGATAGTGGGTTAGCTTTATTTCAAATGCACTACATTTACCAATTGCATATTTTGCAGTGTTTTAATAATGCAATTATTGATAGATGATAACACAAAATGATAACGCAAACGGATCAATGTATTCAAAATTCTTCATGTTACGATATCTTCGTTAATATTATTTGCATTATTTCTTCTCATTGAGATGCACTACTTTTACATGTGTGGAACATGTACATATAACTGGCGCTCATCATTATACATTTCACTCGATCATATATATATAGGGTTACCTTTAAGGCGCTCAAATTTTCCAATTATTTTTAATTATGCCTCCATCGTTCGTATTAACTTGTGTTATTATTGAACACGTTGTATTCCGTCCGTTTTGTGTCTTAGTTTATTGATTTCATTTCCATACATTAATTTCCATATTTTACTTACATGACATTGATATCGGCACGTTTTATCTTCGTTGATTTTATCTTTTCCTCTCTTATCGCAGCATAATTAATTTTTAACGCTATATTATTGTTGCTTTGAAAGACAGGTATCGCTAAATGCCGAAGATTAAATCTATGGAAGCTTTTGATGCAACATTATAAAATTTCTGCGTAATATATCGACGAATTATGAAGCAAATTATCAGCACTCGAAGATCACCAGCTGGCAGTTTTTGGTTGAATGCGCCGATTTAAATTCGTTTTATCATTTTATTTGTTTTTCTTTCATGTAATTATAGGATATTACAACTTGGTCTGTACAGCTAATTCGATCCTTTGGTTATTCATCGTCTTAACCTTCGACTCGACTTCGTGTGTTCAGCAGAATTTAATGGCCTCTAGGAATGTGTTCTTAGATAAACTTGAAATTATTAATGCATTTTCGTGAAATTTAACTTAATTATTGATGACAAGCTGGAATTTTTCATTGCTTATATGTATTATCGATACATACGTCTTTCATCGCATATTTTTCATCAATGCTCTGCAAGTAGAACTTTTAAGCACCAGTTGCCCTTGTTAATATTGTGCAATCAAAAAATAAATGATTAAAACTAAAAAAGGGAACACAAATCATCCGGGAGCATTCTGGAAATTCCGTTGTCGAAACCATAACATTTCAGGATCAAATTCGGGAAAGCGTTTAGTTTGACAACAATCTCGAAAGCTGTTGCCAAAAATGATTTCATTTCAAAATAAGATGTAGGTAACTTCCATGTGTGTACGTTGAAGAAAATTAGCATAGTTCCTATTTTATGCTTTGATCCTTTACAGCCTTGCCAGATGAGACATTGCTTTTTAGTAGGTAGATTCAACGTTTGCGAAAAAGTAACTTATTTCCAAGATATTTAAGAGCCGTAAGATGTTTATAGTTTGAATCTCGTATTATTTCACGATTATCTAACTCGTACTTGGTTGTGTGATGTAGTTCAGTCTGCCCGGCTTATTAAGCAATTCCGGAACTCAGTTCATGTGACGGCAATCAAATTGCCGCTCTTTTTAGACTTAAAGTTTGCTAGTGGGATATATTTAACAAAATTTACATCCTCTTTTTAGTTACTCAACGCGTTAAATTCAATGTTTAATTAATTGTTCACTTAGAGCCATTTTTTTCGTATTATACGCGTGAAAGATCAATTACAAACGCTGAATTAACTTTAATTGGCTTACTCAGTGTCGCCTGTATCCATAGGTTATACAGGTAATGTTCATCATTGCACTCCCTTGCTGTTTTATCAAGGATAAAATTAAGTTATTTTTGGCTCTTTTTTCCACGTATGGGTTTAATTCATGTCAAAGTTATGGAAACGTCAAAAACTTGTAGTTCCTAAATTTCTCGTCAAATAAATCTTACTCCTCCGCCTTTCTGCGATTGAGGTGACGTACTTAAAGAAAGTTGCTATGACCACCATATGAGCAACAACAACAACACTATTATTAAACTAACATTGCCCAATTTCAGCACCTCCGCTGGCCGAGTGTCCCACTTCGTATTATTTTTTTCATACTACGTCACCGTTTTGTGTCTTTTGAAGCGAATACTTTCTTTTCAAATCCTAGAAAACTGCGTTTAACGCTAAGATTTCCAGTGACGTTATAAGCTGTTGAGTTTGTAGGAGTTGTTTGTTGACTTACTATCCGTGGTTGTTTACGAGAGCGCACATAACGCGTTGTTCAGTGACTATAGAGCTGCGATCCATGGTGGGCAGCAGCGTAACGCGAGATCAGCGGCTGGTAACGCGCCTCGGTAACGCGAGATCAGCGGCTGGTAACGCGCTTCGGTAACGCGAGATCAGCAGCTGGTAACTCGATATCAGCAATCTGGGCGGCATAGCCTCGCTACGTCCCTGCAGTCTGCTTCAGCTTTATATTTTAAATCACTTACGTACAACGAAGAGTAAATCACTTTTCGGTGTACAACAATCATCTTCGTGCAAATTAATGCATTTTGCCCTTGAGTTACAGAAAAACATTGTGTTGATTCAGACATTCTGGAAGACGTTTTAATTAACCTCTATGATTATTGATCAATTCTTTCATGTTAATTGTAGCCCCGATGGATATTTTGTAGCAGCTAGAATATCTTAGCCTGTAAAAATTTCTATAAATTCATGGAAAATTCACTTAAATTTATATGATGAATTATGTTATATGAATTCTTTCGAACACTTTCTGTTTGAAGGGTATAATTAGGCTTTGTCATTTGGTGTCGGCTAGAATCTCAAGGTTTTAGACATGTAACCTTATCTTACTAATCTAATGCAACTCTATTGTTATTGCCTTCTCGCTTGGACAATATTACTTGATACCAACTGGGTTATGCCACTAAAGAAATTCTTCTCTTATTCCAGGTCTCGCGAGAAAGCAGAGCTTCCGAGTGCGTCCTTCTAGCGTGGAGGCTGTGGTAGGATCGGACGTGTTGCTCCTGTGCGAGGTGGACGACCAGCAAGGGGATGCCCAGTGGACCAAACACGGCTTCGCCATGGGTAAGCATAGTTCTAGGAACGGTGATTGTAGCCATGAAGTCAGTTGTTGACAAAAGGATGGTCAGTAGATTAATTACGACTTAGCGACGAATGTAAATAGTCCTTGCTAACGATGATGGTATTCAGTAAGTCAGTTGCCAGCAAGGGAATGCCCAGTGGACCAAACGCGGCTTCGCTATGCATGGGTAAGCATTGTTCTAGGAACGGTTATTGTAGACGTGAAGTCAGTTGCCGATAAGGGGATGTTCAGTAGATGAAGTACGGCTTAGTGACGAATGTAAATAGTCCTTAGTAAAAATGATGGTATTTACTAAGTCAGTTACCAGCAGGAGAATGCCCAGTGGATCAAACGCGGCTGCGACACGGGGTATCTTGGTAACAGTGATGGTATCCGCAAAATTAGTGGCCAGAAGAAGATGGCCTCGCAACTGTTTACCATGTGTGTGCATGGTTCGTTGTTGCAGTATTTGGTAACGTCTAGTCAGTGACCAGCTGTACAAAATCTATGACCTTTTAATAAATCAGCTTAACTGATTTTTATTTTCGAAAAACATGAGCATTCGTGGCTTCAGAAATTTGATGTTACATCACAGCATAAGACATTTTGGAAACGTGTATATGTTGTTCATTAATCAAATTTCCATATTTTCAATGGGATTAATTCTTAATTGCGCCATCTATGCTACAGTACAAAGCCACCTTTTGTCAGATAATCCCATTATTTTAGAGTTGGTTTTACCAAAGTCTCCTGAATTTAAAAAATCCATGTCTTGAATTTGATGAACTAGTCAACGGCTAGTGAAGAATGTTATGATGTCTCCCCTGTAGTCATCATCATAGGATTTTATTATTTTTCTATAGTATTCTGTATTAAAGGATTATCAAAGGATTCGTTCTCGAATATTTTACTTAAAATACGAACATTAAGAAATGGAAAACTATTTGTTCTTGCATTCTTCGCACAAATTCGCATTCATATTTAAAAATTGTTATTCAGCTGCATGTAGGTTATCTCTGATCCTTGTAATTCTATATACCTCCTAACATAATTTTTTTTATCTAGAAACAAGCTGCTTCATTTTAGATCTCTCTGCTTCATCTGCATTTATTTTTACCTACTACTTCACTTTCTGGGAGCGATTTTTATTTTTCAAGAAGTGCATAAGAAATTAAAATTTCATGATTTGACGAATCGCGGGCAAAATAGCGGGACTCTTCAAGCACCAATCAAAATTAAACGTGAAATTTCTTCCCAATGTACGCTAGGAAAATGTGAAATGTTGACGGATCCACAGGCTATTTACTGTTTGCCAGTTTACTTTGAGCGAGATGATGCAAAAACATTGCGGAAGATTCACTGCTAAACGAAGGATCTGCCAGCCGTGAACAAGCCTCTCTGACCAACGATCTTTATTGTTCGACCTCTCGATTGTTGGGGCCAAGGTAGTCAACTCGATTGCATTGGATGCTGGTCCCGAGATCTCCAGTGCGGAATATCAGATAGGCGAATTTGCACACCCGCATTTTTGGTCGTTTTGTTGTTACTCAGTTGCTGTCTTGTGAAAATGTGTTGAGAAAATAATTTAAACGCAATTGTAATGATCTTGCAATGGAGAATAGATATTTTCATCCTGTAAATTTGTCTCTTAAAACATCGATCAATTTATCGACTTATTCCCAGCTATACAGATTTTCGGTGTTCCTTTTCCAGATGAAGATTGTGACGCAATATAAAAGTGCCAGCATTCCTGTCATTTTGACCTTTAAATTCTGGCACGAACTGGCATTTTTTATTCTAGATTGAGTGTTAAGACAAACAGATAATATCAATTTCAATTTGACGAACAACTTAAATTTTTTGCAATATCGGGAAGAACATCAAACAATGTGATTAGATTATGTTGTAAGGGTTATTCTTATTTCTTTTTTTTTAGGATTTAACAGAACCTTGCCAGGGCTGCCTCGATACCAGATGGTGGGCAATGCAGAAGACGGCGTTCACAATCTCCGTATCCTGAACGTCTCGCTGGACGATGATGGAGAATTTCAGTGCCAAGTGACGCCGTTCAACAACGCAAGGCAGATCCGCGCGCCAGCCGTGCTCACCGTACTGGGTGAGTGACTTTGCCTTGACAAGACCATAGGGTCAGCTTTACTCTACTGTTTAAGTAACAGTAATAGTTGTATCGGCGTTGAATAGGCCATATCGATACTAGACATTGTTTGGCATTTAAAATGGATCGACGATTCAGAATATCGCTGAATTCTCGCAACTTGCTTGATTTTGAACCCTCAAATCACTGCTGTAAATTACTCTGAAATGTAACCACTGAGCCATCCTGGCCTGTTTCAAGTAATTATGAGACATGGTTGGGCGAGTTGACCTTGCTTTGGCTGAACTAGAGACTGAGCTTCACCTCAGTGTTGTAAATAATAGCGAGCCATGGATGCGCGAGCCTTTGCCTTGGCACCGCCGGGGAGCGAATGCGTCCTCAATAATTAAATAATAGTTGGCCACAGCTGAGTGAGCCGACCTCGCCTCTGTACTGTCAAGGAATTACCTCAGTTGAGTCGGTAATGATTCCCGTACTATAGAAACTGCAAGGTTAGTACTTCTACAGCCTTAATATGTTAATCAAATTGTCTTCTCTTTATGATGAATCTCGAAGAAATACATCCTTCACCTGAAAGCGACTGCGGATACAAAAAATATTTGGCGCTAAGTGCTCGAAGAGCAAAAAATACTTTGACATGCATATAAATTGGTTCAAAAGTAACATGAGAAAAGCGTGAGAAAAATAAAAATGAAAAAAGGCGTGAGAAGAACTATCATTAAATGAAGTAGTTGTGACGAACCGCAGGCAATAATCCGGTATAACTGGACCTTCTTTTTGAGCTCAAGTGCTCTGTAGCTGACACTCTACCATCAATAACATTCTGCGCTCTTCACTCGGTAGGTGATTTTTGGCCGTGAGTTTCCTTTGTTTTCGACACCCCCTAACAGAATTATTATTTCATGTATTTGGTATCCACTGAAGGTATAATGAAACATTTTTCATTTATTGAATGTGCAGCAGTTTTACCTGACAAAGATATGTTCGAGTTTTAACGTCATGAATACATTTGTTCCATGCATCCACCAGTATACTTTGCTAACTTGAATCAAAACTGTGCAATTAACTGAAAGTTCAGGGATGGACATGAGATTTTGTTGTCAATTCCTCAGTCTATACCTGGGATTGTCACTGAACATTCTTTGTATCGTCAAGCAACATCTCTTGACTTCTGCCCTTTCTTCTGATCCCATCTTAGACATGAAGTTTTCTAAATCACTTGCTGCAACGTTTTGTATCTTCGCGTAGAAGACCAATTACTAAACACCTGCGACAAGACTCGTTCAACGCGGCTTTTTCTTAGGATTTATCTACATCTTGTTAGGTTGTTCAAACAATTCAATTCATCGAAGAGGAATCGAGTGCCTCCACCAAATGAATTTTCCACAAATATTAAAAATAATAAATTAATTTTATCTGTAAATATCTCCTTTAGTAGTGAACACTTTACGCGCTTTTGAACTTGCTTTTTATTTAGTGTTCGCTGTTACAAATGTAACTGTCAGTATTCAAAATTGCTTGAGTGACTTGCCTACTATTTTCATGACAATTTTTTTCGAATGTTCGCTCCGAACGTGTTTTAAATTACCAGATTTTCTTACACATCTATGATACCTCAAAAATTACTTAACAAATCATTTCCGAATTTTTCACCATCTCCTCCTGTTACAAATCATCTCCTGATGTTTCCACTACGCTCACTCCGTCATAATAATCATTCGCCCCGTATTTCATATTAGGCTAGTGTGAACAAGTTACGAAAATTGCAAGAATCGGCGGTAGGCCAAACATATGACCTATTCTTCAGTGCCGATTATAGTATACTATGCTATACTACATTATTCTATATCTACTATGCTAAACTATGCTATACTATACAATATTGTACTATACTATGTACAAGATAAATACGTATACATAATAGTTTTACCGTAGATCGTCCTCGCTACCAATATTACCCTCCCCCCCTGCCAATAGTGAGACCCCACACCCCCCTCCCCCCCGAGGTGCTAACGCGATCTGCTGGTCCGCTATTCGAGTCGTCGTCTCGCCCCACACGAGGCCTCCTGCTGCGCTCCTGTGTTAGCGTGGCGCGGTAGCCCTACACTCAGGGAAATAAGGGGGACAGTGTCCGAATGGAGATGCACTTTATATGCGCCTGTGTGGGTCATTCTGACCCAGTTTGTACCGAATAAAGAAGGCTTATCAGTCCCGGTTTATTAATGCTTCATCCGCTGTCTGCTAGTACGTCACTATTTGTTTGGACAATGTGACCGATTGATTTTTCTGAGAGTGCGTGCTGCTCCCCTCACCTGCCGAGCCGCTTTAAGTTATTTAAAAAAACAACAAAATTGCTTTAACTTAAAGTCTAAGTTAACAAACAACTTTGATTTAACGTTATTTTAGCGAAATAAACTTGTAATCAACTTGCTGCTCAAAGATGTACCCCTCTTTAAAATACGTATTCTATCGAACTTAAACAGTAAAATCGCCGTTTCTAGCTAAATATACGATTAAAAATAATTTTCGACACCGATCACTTTAGTTAACAAACGATTGTAACTATAATTATACGGCAGTAAAACTAGTATTCAGTACCTGCATGGTGTGTAACCTATGGTAGGAAATCTTCAATCGTGATCAATTAACTGAATATTTTGATGGTTAATAAGTTACGTAAGGCAATCACGTTATAATATTTTAGCTACAAAAATTGCTCAAAATAAAGGCAAATTTTATTATTTACCTTCAAAACTAAGATTGCGATTTTATCTTCCTAATCTGTTGTGTTTGCTTGCTAAATACATAGTGTTTTGCGGAAAAAATGCTTACGGAAAATAATTACCATCAGCCGTGCCGGTATACATGAAATTCCGTCCCAGTGCGTTAAAGTCGTCCAGTAAGTTGCTAAAAAAAATTTCAATTGTTTAAACTAAATATAGCTGTGTTTTGTATATACTATTTTTAAGCTTGCAGTGCTTTGGTAATTACAAAATGTTAAATTTCAGTTCACTGACTTTTTGTTGAGATATACAGCACAAGTATATCAGATGGACCAGCAAGATGCACAGCCTTAAAATTACACAGCAAACTTTGTTTTGTTACGCATTCCTCATTTTTTGAACTTTTGTGAATTCGTCTAATTATTTTATTACACGAATATGGTATATCGCAACAATAATGTTAAAAACCTGCTTTCAATCAAGATTTTGGCATTAGTTCAGTCTGACTTTATTTATGTAGATATATTCCAATAATCACAATCTTTATTCTCTAACTTTCACATTTTTTCAAGTGTAAATGAATAGTCATAAAATATTTTACTGTCGAGAATTATTGGATATTGATTGGTGTATTTGTCTCGAAACTTGCAGAAGCGCCTAATATCTTTTATTCCATTACACAGTCCCTCCAAGTAATATATACCCTCCTTCCCTGCACAGTCCCTCCAAGCAATATATACCCTCCTTCCCTGCACAGTCCCTCCCAGCTCGCTGACCATCGAGCGGTCGGAGGCCAGCCTGACCGTGCAGGCCGGGCAGTCGCTGTCCATCACGTGCAAGGCCAGCGACGCCAAGCCAGCGGCGGCCATCAAGTGGCGGAAGAACGGCGTCCTCTTCACTCCAAGTGAGTGATTAAACCTTTACCTTTTTTACCTTAACCTTAAACTTTTTTAACTTTAACATTAACCTTTTTAAGCATGTGTACAAATTTGATAAAAAGTTGTCAATTTTTGGTCAAAACTGTAGACCACTTTTATCGGTCACGTCTACAAGATAAGCAACAATTACTGGTTGCTATTGGATGAATTTACGTTGGTTATTGATGAGGAGAACTCGAATATCGTGTGCGCACATATTCTCATCAATCAAAGTGATGACTTCACAACTATATACCAACTTCGGCGTCACGCGAAATGTATGAATTCACACCCTGGTTTCGCTCTAAATGTATGAATTCTTTGTAATAAATATTCATACCCGCCTCCGTGTTGATGAAACTGAAATGCAGCGTTCGACATTACTCACTCGTCGCAAGACTTTTTCGTTGAAGTTTCCTAATTACATTCTCACTCGCGGCTGTTAGTCATTCATTACACAACTTCCACCGTCAAACTCGACATTTTAAAGTCATATGAAGATCATTATCGTTCGACAGTGAGAAGCTGAATGGTGAGCTGCATGTAGTTGGGTCACAATTCATTATAGCACGAAGTTGTGTAGGCTGATACTGAGCTGAATGTAGCTGCGTTACAACTTAATTTTAAGTAAGTGAATGTTTTCGAAGACAATCAAATGATCAATCATAACTTACGCGACCTACGGTTCTTTGTAATAAGCATATCATTGTGATTATTAATAATAGAAGCACTTGAATGATTTTCGTAGTCATATTTACGATCCTTTTAAAGCATTGCTGCAATTTTTTTCTTTTGAGTTTATTTTTATGTGAACAATATTTTCCTAAAAGTCCAGCCTGTTGAGCTTTTCTAGAAAACCTTAAAGTAAAATACATGGTCCGATGAACATGTTGTTTTCTTAAATTGCAGTTTTGCTCCGTTTCTTGCGTCCTATCCACTTAATTTAAAGTTAATTTCACTTCAAGATAGTATATCTTTTATATAGCTTTTATTTTTATTGAATCTATAACCCTGTAAATTTCTGTTCGAAGTCATGCGTCCTTTGATCAGTTTTGATTCGTTAAATTTCCGATTCATCAGAACATTCGAGTCCCCTAATACTTTTCGCGGGACGCTGCAACTAATGTAGCTTTTAATATGCAAATATGCTTCGAAGTCATCAAGAGTTAACTGGATGCTGATGGTAAAATGCTGCAGTTCAAAAAACATGGCTGACGTATGTCTCGCCTGTTGCAAGTATAGCATGTCACAGTGCATCGCTTGTCAACATTTTTGTCTCATTTATTCGTTTATATTCTAACGTTGGTATTTGCAAGAGGTTGTCGAACTTTGTACCGTCCTGAGTAAAATAAGTTGGATACTTGCTGCAGGATTTCAAACCTCGAATAAAAAACTCCGTCGGTCTCGAAAAAATAAGTTTAATTTTGTTTCATATATTTGACGGGCTTTAGAAAAAACGTAAGAACAACGACTTTAGTTATTATCAACGTCAAGCTATTCTTATGTAAAAACGTTTAAAAGTATTGCTTTCTGCGTTGCAATGCACTAAATTTTCGCTGCTGATTAATTTGCATTTCAGACTTATTGAGACTTATTGACTTATTGAGTTTCTTACCTCTTTTTTTCATCAAATCATTCCTAATTATTTACATGATTTATTCTGATAAGAGAATATATCAATATATGGCCAGCGGTAATTGGTGGGAAGCGGTAGGGTGGGAAGCGGTAGGGTAGGCAGCGGTAGGGTGGAGAGCGAAAGTCCCCCCGCGCCGCGCAGGTCACGGTCAGCAGGCGCGCATCTTCTGTCGTGGCCGCTGAGGGATGACGCTCGCTGTGCGCGTCCTCAGACTCTTCTTTACAACTCGTTCAATGTATCATTCTCTCCTCAGTACTTCATTCATTCAGCGCATGATTCACTGCCACCTCAAGTTCTCATTCGTCCATCATGTTGCGCTAACTTCACTTCCTCATTCATTCATTCATTGTGTTGTGCACGTTCACTCCCTCATTCATTCATTGTGTTGTGCACGTTCATTTCCTCATCCATTGTGTCACAACGCTCTCGTACCTCACTTGATCATTAATCGTATTGCGCACGCTTCATCACATCTCTCTTCGCTCTCATACCTTTCACTCTTCGCACTCGTGTCTCTCTCTCTCGTTTTTCGTACGGATTAAATGGCTTCTAAACAATTCCATGTTAATAATCTACATCAACAAAAATTCCAAATGTTAAGGGGTTGACAATATTAAACTTCTCAAATATAGGGAATATGGTTGAGATTGCAGGGAGCTGGAGGCAACCTGTAGGGTTGATTCCACATGCGTGAAGGCCGCTTGTGCGCTGGTGTGTAAACGGCATTGAAGCTTTATTGCGGGTCAGAGAATTTTTGTTCTAATGAAATTGCACGGCTCTCGAGCTCTGCTTCCTCGAGCTCTGCCTGCAAACATTCGCAGGTAGTCGAAATATAGCGACTGCAGCTGTCGCCGTCTCAACGCATTTAGAAGGCATCCTAATTTGATGAGTGAACATTGGTCTAGGCTCTAGAGATTCTGTTTAGATATTGGATATTCTTGTTTCCCCAATTTTAATCTTCTCTTAAACTGCATGAGTGCGTTGATATCGTTTAGTGTTCATGACATTGTCACACAACTTGCGATAACATTTATGTAATGCTGACATTTACATTGGTTATGAAGGTACACCAAAACACTTTAAAAAAACGATTTAAAAAAATGTAAAAACTCGATTCTAAAAAAAAATTGGGATGATTTGATCCTAACACTACGGGCTAACTCATTAATAGTAAAACCTAAAACATGGTAATCGAGAATATATGAGGTTTTAACACTTATCTAAAATTGTTCAAGTCTTGTATGTTGCTCAAGCGATTATCGATTGCCGATCTTGCAATTCATACTTGAGGAACGAATTTTTGATCCATTTCACATCACGCACTTAATTATTTTCACTTCAAACCACATAATATTTCGACAGCACATTTTTCACTTGGCTTTATTATATATTTAAGTTCAAATTGTTTTTTTTTTTTCATGCAAACTAATTCATTTATTGTTAAACCAGTCATCTATTTTCATCTTCTAGGCATTTCGTTACTCGATCTTAAGATATTTTCAAAATGAATATTATTCTGATCATTGTTCTCAGACACCGGGCATTGATTGGTTAGTTAACGACAGATAATATAAAAATTTAACGCCATATGAGGATATTATCTTTCTTTCAATCATGTTATTTTACATAAGGACATACTTAATTTTATTTATAGGCAGGGTATTTGTTATTATACTTATTCATATTATTCATCCTCGTTATTATTCCGCTCCTGGCGAGCATTATTATTGTGCTAATGCTACTTCTTAAATAGGCACATATTGAAGCAATTTAGTTTAATTACCAGCGTCGCAACATAGCTCATATAGTACAGTCGTCTAAAGTCGGTGCAATAATATACCCCTTCAGTAATACTGCTTATTACTCCCATCTCTACGCATCAAGTATCAACTCAAGCTTACATTTCATTACGTGAAGTTGTCTAAAAATATATTAATGTTTTTTGGAACACCAAGCAAGAATATATCAAAGCTAGGGATGTTTTGTTCATTTTTAGGGTTTATTATTATTATATTATAATTGTTTAGTTTTATCTGTACGGTCATAGCTACTTCAATGCATGGAAAGAATTCTGTTGTACTTCTACTTTATTTTTTTTTTATTTTAGATAGTCTGATTGACATTTAACTCAGCAAGAAACAAGCACTTTAATTTTACTCCGGGGAATGCCGACAAATCAAGTCATCCAAAAGCGTTCAATGTTATTACCGATTTCCGATTGGACATTAATGGCATTTATTATGTTTCACACCAGACCCAAATTTTTATGATCAAACGTTAAAAATGCGTTTTTGCTTACGTTTAGTTCATGCAACTAAAGCCAACACCAACAGGCAAGATAAATTTAAAATGTACCTTGATTGGACGAAGCTTTTCAAAGAAATACATATTTCATTCTTACTTCTCAGAACTTCTCTTAATTCAACAGCATCAGTTGGCCTGCCGGCATTTTATCTGGAATTCAATCAGTGACTCATGTTTCGAAATATTAAATTTCTTTCATTCATTTCAAATCTATTTGTTATCAGCTTTCTTTCCTCGAAAGGAAATTTGGTGTGCACCAGACGAGCATAATTTAGTTTTGTGCAGAATCCTCTTGCTTTCTTCACTAATTACCGAAAGTTTTCGCTTATGTTTAGATTAATCTTTTTGACACAGACATATTTGAACTCATTTCCAAATTCAAGTTATTCCATTCTTTTTCGTATGCTGTTCCGCGAGCATTTCTTCTGTTGAATGATTTTACACATCCGTCAAACATGCATCTGATGCTAGCTAGGCCGTGATGTTAAATGTTAAAGATGGTAATTCACGTTAGTAGTTTTTTATACGTAATTCATGAAGCTACATTAAAACTCTTAGAGTTTTTTTTTCTAAAATATTACCTTATTTTTTTTCTGCTTTGAACCGATGCTAGTCAACATCAAAGGTTTTCATGGCTCTTCAGCATTAGGCTCAATTACAGGTGATCTTTTTATCCAATCAAATATGTCAAAAGAAATTACCGATTCCTGCAGAGTGAGTTGCAGTCTTGTTCCATCTTTCCAAGCCTCGCTTAGACATTTTTTTATTTAAAGACTTTTTATTACTTAGGTCGCCAGAGAAATATCTCTTCGATTGAGATAAAATTGCTTCCTCCTCATACTTGTCCGTAATTTGATGCATGTATGTTTCTTTGTTGGTTGTAGTTTTTCAAGCCTTGGATTTTTTACTTGTGGGAGTTTGTTCCCAGATCGCATTGCTTTTATTTGCTCAGAAATTCGTGCACAAGTTCTGCCGAAACTGAAGTTTGCTCACCGATCTTTTCTCCTGGGAACCTGACTGCAGCGATATTTTTATTTCGTGCATTTTGTCCGCGTTTTTTTTTTTGTATCGACCGAGTTTCTGTGACACCAGTTCTGTATATTTTTGTAGTCGTGTACGTTCGTGCAACATGAAGGAAATCTTCATCCAATCTGTACGTAAATGGATTATAAATTGGCTGCTGTGCATGGAAATTTTCTACTTATATTGACACACAGAATGAGAAGCCTTTTTGATGTGATGATTATCCGAGAAGCCTTGACAACGGAAATTCTCAAACCATCCGTCCTTGGGTGTAAGTTTTGTTTCATCTTTTACCTGTTTTCATTTTCATGCTTAGAACTATTTGATAAAAATATTGATAATGCATAATATTGCAAGCGTAACTCTTGATGTGTTCGAATACAGTAATTGCATCCAAACATATAATTCCAAAATATAAAACTCTACCTTGAAATTCACGGTTGTATCAAAATACCTAAATTCAAACATAGTTGCATAGTTTTTGGTTTTCCTCGCAAACCAACGTGATACGACTGACATATTTCATAAACCGGCCTTCATACCTCACCTCTGATCGTCCTGGTCATCATTCTTGTGTCGGTTGTGGTGCCTCATCGCAAGCCTCAATACGACAGAACGACGTCGGACGCTTCCTTATATACTAGCAGCGTCGCTATGAAGCATTGCCTGAGGTGACGATCATTGCTCCACGGACCACACGACAGCCAGCCTGATCGAAGGCTGTAGCACTTTACCATGCAAACGTGTGATGGCATCTGCATCGCCCGTCTCTGATCTGCCACGCGACAAAATACGCTTGCATGTTTGCATAATTTCTCAGCTCACCTTCGACTGTTTGAAAAGTAAATACAAGAATATCTTTGCATAGAAATATCGACATACAGTATTTGTGTGTGCTGTTCTGCGTAGTTCCTTATTCGTATATTCTTATTCTGAAATAATAATTTTTATTTGCATTGGTATGTTGGTACTTAGGTTAGCCAAATTATTTGCATTGGTACTTAGGTTAGCCAAATCTGTCAGATCCCGCGCTTGTCAACAAATTATGATCGCATTAGTGGGGTCAGTTAAAACTGGGGGCTATGCTCAATTTCAACAATGCAACCATTTTGTGGCATAATTACTTAAACCTATTATCAATAATTGAATTTCAGGCAGTTATTTTAGCCGTTTTTGGTACCTTCCTCTACGCGTAATTACTACCCTTCTGCGACCCTGATTCCTCATCACCAATGTCTCATTATGATCTAACTTATTAGAGAGGAAGCGATCAGAGTCAGCAAGCACTTGCACGTAAATCTGTTTCACGAAACAGGACGGATGCGAAATTGATTTTAAACTCCACTTTAATGGTTCCAGTGAAAATGTAGCTTTTTCAGATAGATTATCACTATACTTAATTACCTCCGTCTGTAACTGACTCGATAATAAATTGAGCATATAATAATAAACTAACGTTTGACACCTGATTTTCCTGCAAACATATATCTCCAACTATTCATTACGAACACAAGGGTCGATTAAAGGAGGCAACATATCATCTCAATGTAACGTATCTATCTTCATTTTTAAATTATATAAAAACCATTGATTCTTACAGCTCCGTACACCGCACTGCAGTTCGGTTCGCTATAATTGGTGTTTTGATTCATTCCGCATCCGTGCTGTTGCGTGATTCAGATTTACTCACAAGAACTTGATGAAGTTGATGACTCAGTTTCCTCTGAGAAGGATCACCACGGGACTTGTTTCGTGACTTAGTCTGGTATGGGGAGGAGGATAGGGACGAGTAAAGGGAGAGGAGGTTCGAAGGATTTGAGGAGGATCCTTTTGTGGAAGAGAAGGAGGCGGGAAATGCCAGGACCGCGCCAGATTACTCAGCTTTAGATTTTCGTTCCGTCATATGTCGGCCTGAAATTGGTGCAATAACCTCAAATGAATTAGAAATACGCCTTCTCGCTCAGCATTTTTGCTTTGTGCTAATTCCGCATGTTGCCATGAAAATTATCGATTGACAGCTGCCCATAGAAAAACTCACAATAAATTTGTCATGTGCATTCTGATTGAATGATTTGCCTGGCATGGTGAGGAAGCACAGGAGCGTCCTGTCATGTGCAGTACCATGGAATCTAATTTAAGTTCTATTGATTAATAGCGATGAACGGGTGAAGAGATGCCACAGAATCTTGGTGCTTCCACAGCACAATTAACTGTTGCATTGTTTAAGTTTTTTTATTAACAAATTCCGTATCTTATTCCCATATGCTGATTACAATACTTATGGTTCATTCTTCTTCATGTCTTACGATTAAACTAAACTTATGTTTTAACTGTATTTCTGGCGGCCGTATCTAATCTGAGTTGTCCTCATTTTTTTCCCCCCCAGACTGAACATTTCCTGAACGGACATTTCCTGACTTGTATCGTGCAATTAGATTGGTTTTCTTGCTCCTTTACTTAGATGAACTGTTATTACTTCGTAAGTATCTTCGCGCGTTGTCCTTTTCACTAAGAGAAATGAGTGAGACATTATCCAAATGGCGATGCACCCTTTGACCTCGTGTGGGCTGTCGTGACCCAGTTTGGCACGGCAAAAGGGCTCATTACTTCTAAGTCCGCTTTAAGCTCGTGCTGTGCGTAAGATAGCGTGTCACTATTTGAATAATATGACCCGTTCATCGTATGAGTGTAGAGTGCATTGTCGCTGCCGCCACGTATCTTTTACTGAAGCAGGCATATCAGTACTCAGTAGCACTGCCGCGCTCCAGCATAACCGCTTAAGTTAGGTCATTACTGCGCTCGCATTGCTCTGTGCAGCTACAAACTACAACCCGCGGGCGCATGCCTCTTCATTTTAATGATTATCCAGGCCTACTGTAGTGAAACATTACTGGTGCCACAACGAGTCTTGTATGAGTCTGGGCACTTCTTACAACTTAGGTGCTTTGCAACTGAAGGCTCAATTAGTGTGTGCTTCTTATCGTTTTATGCATTCCTTTTGGCGAATACATTTGTTGAAGTTATTTGTACAGTCAGTTTACTTCTTGTAATTGGTTATATTGCGAATATAACTCGTGTAACTTGTGACTCGTGATTACAACTGAGATAACATACCAGTTTGCCTATGGAGAATAAATTTAATTTAGAACGAGTCTTCTTCTTGCATGAGACTGGCATTATTAATGACTCGAAAACTCTTTCCTCCAAACTAACCTTGCAAGGAAAAATATTTACTAAGAATTATTTTTGCGCAATCAAAGATACCAGTAATCACTAATTAATGGGGTTATGAATAAATGTATTTTTTCGATATGCTATCAAAGAAATTGCACGTCACTCCCAGGATCCTGTAATCACGCTACAGTCGGGAAATTTTTCGATGGTGGCTTCATATTTGAGTTTACGAGCAAATTTGCATCCCGAAAGCATTGTTTCGTGATGGGATTTGCGTGAAGACCGTCTCGTGGCACCTCATCAAGCTTATGGCTCGCCACGCTAACAAGAAACTGCTTGACCTTTAATTTGGTTCGGCGCCTAACTTGCCTGGCTGGCAAATTGATCCTCCAATGCAAGCTTTATTGTTTACTGGCATCATCAAGCCTCTTGCTGCTACAATTTATATTCATTTAGTTATATACCATTTATTTTTCATTCATAAAAGGAAGTCTTGGCTGCAATCTCAAAACTGATTACTCAAAATAGGCCGTTTTCATGTAGTCGAGGAATTGTAATATTCTCGCTAAATTTAACCGATTTTGTACAGTTTTATTTCCGACTACTTAGCTCACATCGTCATGACTTACTAATTGCGTACCATGTGAATAAATTTTTTTTATATTTTGATTTTATTTTGATTTTTTTATTTATTTTTTTTAATTTTTACCATGTGAATAAATTCTTGCACTGACACGCGAGGCGTCATATTTCCTCGAACATCACCTGCTCTAGAAGTCAAATATTTATCTTCTCGTTAGAGCTTCTCTCCCATAAAATATTGAAATTTTACTGGCGTGCTGCTCATTCGGAGATTCTCTTATGTCCCCCGGCAAATTAAAACTGCAGGGGTTTCATTTCCATGATTGCTTTGTGTAAAACACAGCAAATGATTGTGTCCCGTCTGTGCTTTGCTTATTCATGTTAGATGCGCAGTTTAACATGGTAATTTGAATGAAACTACTGTGCCCTTTACAATATTATTTTATTGATATTAATAAGGGAAAATAGGTAATAAAATCTGCTAACATACATTTTTCTGTCAGCTATTGATAGTTTTTCGATATTTTTTTATTTAAATTTCATTCTTGCGTTTTTATGTTTTGTATAGGTTAATAAATTAATTTACTTGAGACTATATAGTGATTATCATTCAGTCCAGTGATTATCATTAATCTCGTATATTTCATTTTTTGAAGTGATGTTACTTTATTTATTATTTTGCAGGTAACGAAGAGAGCAGTGAAGTCGATGGAAGTAAAACTAATCTTAAGACCAAAACCAGCAAGATCACCATCACACCAACAGCTGAAGATAATGACGCTAATTTCACCTGCGTCGCTCATCATCCCGCGCTCACCATCACCAACATCATACTACAAACTTCAGTCGTCCTGGACGTGCAGTGTATGTGTTTTGATGTTTAACTCAATTTTACATAGTTAATGCTGCTTGACTTATTCGTGTCTAATACTATCGGAATTATCAACTCCTAACCATTTCATCTAAGCTACAAATTAAAATTCATTTCATGGATTTGTTTAATCTTCAACGTTCTATTACAACGATGCAATCAAATTTAGATTGAGTATGGAGAACTAATTTCTGATGTATCTCTATTCACCTCTTAAAAAATTTATAATGCTACACGATTGTTTGTCTACTCAAGCAACATGAAATTTGACCGCTTGGTCGCATCGTCACACAGATCCCCCCAACGCCCCTGAAGTGATCGACTTCGCGGAAGACGAGTCCTTCGCAGCCGGGCAAGAAAAAGTCCTGACGTGCCGATCTCGAGGCGGTAACCCGCTGCCTGATGTCTACTGGTACAAAAACGGCGTGGAACTTGACAGGACTTTTGAGAAGCACAAGAACTACGCCGTCAACGAGTACCGCTTTGACGTGGACTCCTCCGACAACCGCGCCGTGTACGAGTGCCGTGCGCGCAACGCCATCACCACCGAACCTAAAACAACCAGCATTACCATGAGAGTCAATTGTGAGTTGTTTCCCGCATATTGGTACTATTGGGGTAACTGTGCTATTTACTCCTCGTAACCGTATGGTCTAAGTACGTGATAGAGATTCAAATAGAGTGCAATTATAATAAGTGATTATGGCATGGGGGGGATTTCTCAGAATTGGGGTTCCTATTATATTCACGATTTACTGTGGATATTTATTTCGAAAAACAGTTGGAAATACTATTCGAATAACTATGTTCTTAAATATCGTGGAAAATTTTTAATTGAAATATGTTCTGTTGTAAATCAACTTTGTGAAAATCTGATAGTATTTCGTGCTCCGTAGAAGTCCCGTATCCTGATTTTTTTCGAGTTCACTTCCCTCCTTATGATTTCACTTCTCCCTACTCGCAAACTCTCTCCCCCTCTTTCCGATTTCACTTCCCTCTGCTCACAAATTCACTCCCCCCTCTTTTCAACAGTCCCTCCTGATTCTGTGGTCATCACCGGACCGGCCTCGGCGAAAGTAGGCGACCGCATCTCGCTGAGCTGCAAGGCGTCCAATTCGAACCCCGCTGCCCAGCTCAGTCTACTGGTGAACGGACGAACTCCCCCAGGCACAGCCTCGTCTACCCCCGTCAGAACCGAGAACTGGGGCTTCACCAACACGGCTAACGTCACCAACTACCTGGTTGAAGCCACCGATAAAGACCTGGTGGTGGCTTGCTATGCCCACAACCATCCACTCGGGACTACAAAAGTCGATACAAAGACCGTTACAATTCTCCGTGAGTTTAATTGGTTGTCTGTTTTGTAGTTCGTGCCAACTTTGCAAGGCTTTTTCCAATTTATGTTACCTAGGAAATTAGGATCCAAAAGTATCACAGTAAAATTTTTCCAGATTTTGAAAATTTACGGATCACGGATGTTTGTGAACCGCTAAGTAATCCTTTATGCAGTGTGTGTTTTTGCTGTAGTGTTTATAATTTTAGGATTGCATATTCTCAGATCAAAATTTTTATCTCTGAAGATCGTGTAATCTTTCGATCGTTCAGTTTGAAGGTCAAACCAGTCAACAAATACGTGGAAAACCCCAAAATTTTCGCTGTTGGCATTTTCGATACTTCCATTTATTCCAGTTATGGAGCTATTGCTAATTGTTAATTATTCCAAATCACTTGAAAATATTTTAATCCATTCGTTAATCTGTTTCGCTGACCGCCTCTTCTTCTTTATCTCTCACCGTCACATTTTAATTGTTCCACTCAACATCTCTCATATATCCGCTCCCCGAGACTCACCATCTGTCGCACTCTTCGACACTTATTCACTGTACTGCTCATCGTCATTAATTTATAAATTCATTAAACTTCGTCATTAAACTTCGTCATCTCGAATGTCTCGGTTGCATGTTTATTATACATCATTAAACTTCGTCATTAAACTTCGTCATTAAACTTCCTCATTAAACTTCCTCATTAAACTTCGTCATTAAACGTCGTCATTAAACTTCGTCATTAAACTTCGTCATTAAACTTCCTCATTAAACTTCGTCATTAAACTTTGACACTTATTCACTGTACTGCTCATCGTCACTCATTTATTGTGTCAAACACCTCGTCTTAGGACCCCCTGGCCCGCCTATCATCGTCGGCTACAACGGCACCCATCCTCTCAAGTCTGGCGAGCGCCTGAGCCTGACGTGTCAAAGCGACGGTGGCAACCCGCTGGCGACGCTGACGTGGTTCAAAGGCAACACAGAGTTGCCGGCGAGTGGCACCCGGCAACACGGCGACTCGTCCATCTCTGACCTGGACGTGGTCCTACAGGAGTCTGACAACCGAGCGACGTATTCCTGCCGCGCGTCCAACGACGCGTCAACGATCACCCTCACCACCAACGTCACGCTCGCCGTCTATTTTCCTCCCGCGAGCGTAAAAGTGACGGTGTCCCCGGACTCCATCCACGCTGGGACCAACGTGACGCTGCAGTGTGAGAGCTCCTCGTCCTACCCCGCCGCCAACGTCACCTGGTGGAGGGACGGCGCTCCCCTCCTGGGGGGCGTCGAGCAGGTCAAGGACGGCCTGCATCACGGCACCATTACGTCGTAAGTTGTGGTTAAATTTAAACTATAGATAACAAGTTCCGATCTTTGAATATTTTCGTATGTTATTGGTCGTGTGCCAATTCTTACGGATCTAGAGTAAGATTGTCTGGTTTTAATGTCTTTACCCAACTAATTGAACGTAGTTTATCAACAAAGTAGGAAATGTATTGGACTTATTTTCGCGGATTGTTTGTTACTATCTTCGAAAAATGTGGATATTAATTCGCACATTTTTATTGATATTGCGTATATTTGACTAAATCGGTTACTTTTTTACGATGGTTACGATGTCCGCGCTTCAAGAATTGCATTAATTTGTCGGAGCGTTCACCAACACACCCGTTCAGTCCAGTGCATGGAAATTATTTTTTTAGACCGCATTCCTAGTATGCTTTTCATCGCAACCATTAATAGGTTCGCATCAAGTTACCCGGTACATCACATCCAATATATAAAAGTTGTTTTTTTTTTGTTATTACGATGCAAGTGATGTTATTGTATCAGGTACAGCGTGGCGGTTACGGTTGGGTCTGAAGATGACGGGGCCATCTACACCTGCCAGGCCAGCAACAACTGGGCCTTCACCACGCACGACTCCATCACCCTCGACATCAAGTGTACGACAGTTAATAAATGGCTATACGATATTCCCGTTAATGAGCGACTACATGAAAGGCGGAACGTGTGAACAGTTAGATAATTTTTGTCATTGAGATAAATGCCACTTTTTACACTGAAAGCTTATACAAATGTTCTTTGCGCATTATTTCTATCCGATCATATGAAAAAATTAGGGTAAAAAGTCGCTTCCCTTGTCAAAATACTATCAAAAACCTGATGCATAAGGAATATAATGTCCAAATTAACTGAACTATTTCTATTTCGCATCCGATGGTCAGATGCACCAGTGTTCGCCGAAGGAGCGTTGCCAGCTTCAAAGGAAGTGTCAGAAGGAGAAAGTATTTCACTTAACGCCACAGTCCTGGCTAAGCCTTCCGCGGTCACGTACACGTGGCATTTCGGTGGCCAACTTATCACCTCCTCATCCGTCATGAACATCACCAACATCAGCCGCACTGATGATGGCATCTACACAGTTAAAGCCACCAACTCTGAAGGATCTGTCACCAAAGATATCGCTCTTAAAGTTAAATGTGAGTTTCAAAGAGACTATGAATTCTAAAGTTGCATTCATGATGAAGAAAATGACGCATTGAAGGTCTTTATTCATCACATTTATCAGTTTGGCGTTGAATTTATTCAAATATAATATGTTTTAAACTCTGTGGACTCCAAAACTTTCGTATTGTCCATCTTTAATTATTCGCATCCCAAATGTTTTTTTCTATGCACCCTCCACATAGTTTTCATTTTTAACAGGTAAAAACGTAAACAAAAAGTACAAATAAATCTTTTATTCTAATATCATACATGTACTGCTTCGTATGATATACTCAAGAACTCTACTGTGCTCCTGATTGTGGTGGGTTGACTGCACTTGACTTGTTTACAGTCGCGCCAGTCATCCTGACTAAAGACGAGAAATTCACCGTCAACACCAACGACTCCGTCGAGCTCACGTGCCGCGCCACCGGCCTGCCTAAACCGACGTTCTCGTGGCACCGCGGCACCGAAGACATCTCTTCGAAAGCCACGCAGTACGATGATAGTGTGAGTTGAATATAAGTTATTTCTTTGAAAACCTCGCAATACGATGGTAGATTGAGTTTAAAATATTATATTTCTTTGAAAGCCATGCAATATGATGATATTGTGAGTTGAGAATAAGATATTTCTTTGAAAGCCATGCAATATGATGATATTGTGCATTGAGAATACGATATTTCTTCGAAAGCCATGCAATATGATGATATTGTGCATTGAGAATACGATATTTCTTCGAAAGCCATGCAATATGATGATATTGTGCAGTGAAAAGTCGACATTTCTCCGAAAGACACGCATCACAATGATATTTTGAGTTGAGAACTTGAGAGTAAGATATCTCTTCGAAATCCCCGCAATACGATGATAGGATGATTTGAGAATGTGCTGACAACGCAATCCTGAAAATAATTTACTTATTTTTTTCGCTCTGAATTTGGGTTTCCCAAAGGGCGACGGTCGCTATAGAGATTGTTTGGGATCTTTGATATCACGGCATGTACGGTATTTCTGATTATTTGAGTTTTTTCGGCACGCTCTGCATTATTGATGCAATTATGCGTCTGAATTAAAAAACCTGAATTCATTTCAGTCATTAAGAGTGGTAGGATTTATTCTTGAATCGTCCATCATTAATTAGCTTATCATTTTGAACTCATGTCACGATCAGTAGAGCTACTGTTAAGTATTGCTGTGTTGGTGGTAATGATTTTAGCGGCTTTCATTTCATCTGCTCCATAGCTCCTATTATAATGCAAAATTGTATACCAGCTAAAAGTATTGTTATTATTTCCCACAGTCTGTCCTGACGATCCAACGCGTATCAGCCTCCGACACCGGAAGGTTTTTGTGCAGAGCCAAAAACGAAGTCGGCAAAGACAGCGCCAACTTCACCGTCCTTGTTAATCGTGAGTCTGGCCCCCTCCTGCTGCTTTGTTAGTTGACCCGTGGTTTGTCTTGAATGTATTTTCTGTTCTTTAGAATATGTAGGAAGACGGATTCGTCTGTCGCTAGCATTATCGTGGTCATATTAATTGAAAATTGGGTGAATGAATCAGAGCGAAAATTCGACAAATAAGAACAAAGTTCATGCAGGATTTTGCAGGTCGAACAAAGAACTTGTAAAATTCCACTATCTTCAATATAATTGATCATTTCTATGAAAATTTAGCTGCTGAGGTTTTCGGAGATTCAACACTGTTCTCCTTTGTTATATTATTTTTTTATAGATACATGCTCACTCTATTACTCAATTATGATGAATGATTTTCACGCACTCGTGCATGGCCATTGAGGTGGGGTATTTTAATTTTACGTGAGTAAACTTGTAAAAGTGACAAGAATTACAGTCAATTGCAGCTCTTTACAAGAGAGCTCATCTTCTTAAGTTTGTCCTTCCTGTTAACGGGTTATTCTCCAAAATGCATAATCTTTGCGCTTTCGTCTTACTCCTTCTATAGCCGTATCATCTTATTTTCCTTCCACAAAATATTTTCACATTAGACTGTTTCACAAAATACCGTTTCGCAAAATACTGTTACACAAAAGACTGTTTCACATAAAAACTGTTTCACAAAAGACTGTTTCACAAAATGACTTTCACAAAATACTGTTTCACAAATGACTGTTGCACTAAAGACTGCTTCGTGTAATACTGCTCCACTTTATATTGATTCACATTAAACAGCTTAGCTTATCCCTCAATTCTGCTAAGACCTCCAGCAAGATAATGCTTTGACCTCAGACTTTTCGACGTTTGATCTCGCGGTCGTAATGTCGTCGAGCTGTGCATGTGTCAGCGTGAAGTCAACACGGGATGCCATTTGTTTTGTTTAGATAAACCAGTGATGGACAGCTCGGGTCTGTACGAGCGGGCGGGTGCAGAGCTGGGCGGCACTGGGACGCTGCGGTGCAGAGCGACAGGTTCGCCTTCTATTTCCTTCACGTGGTTCACCCGCGACAACACTCCCATCGAGGCGGCGCTATACTCCCGCTTCCAGAACAGATACAGCGTCTCTGACTCTGAGGTATTTAACATGTGTGCAATGTTGATGCTCATACTAGATTTGGCGTGATATATAGATATAATAATGTAATATAGTGATGTTAGCTTTGACGAGACCATGTTGGCCTGTCGTCGATTCTCCGATTCTCAAAGTAGCCAATTTAGACCAAGTTTTTTCACAAAACTTGATTCGTGTTTCAAACCACCGCATCGAAGCCTATTGGTAAAGTCACGTGATCGTCGTTAGCTTTTTTGGTGATGCCACTTGATCGTTGTAATAATTAACGATGCTATTGACGTGCAGTTGGTGGACGGTTTAGCGACGTACGAGAGCGTCCTCACAATCGCGAACGTCACCATCAAAGACCATGGCATCTTCCAATGCCAGGCGATGAACTCGCACGGCTACACCAACACCATCATCACCCTTGAGGGCACCACTGCTCCTGACGCGCCCTCAGATCTCAAGGTTGGCCTCTAGCCCTCATCCAAGCCGATGTATAACCTCAGTGTACGGTATATAAAGATTTGTTAACAATACTTTCATGCAATGCTTTAGAACCTTTTACTGGGTGCAACACCATTAATTGCAAGCTATGTTTCGTAAAATTTCATTTAAATTGGCGCTCCAATTTTAAGTTTTATTAGCATGAAATAATTACCCATATGTCTTGCAGGTTGTGAACACGACGCACGACAGCGTGTTGCTGCAGTGGGTGTCGGGCTACAACGGCGGACTACAACAGAGCTTTCGTATTCGCTACCGCAGTAAAGAGTCTGATTACTATCAGGTGCTTCCCCAGACTTGTGTTGCATGTATTACTTAACTTGATGCCCTGTATATACTACAGTAGACATACACCTTTCTTCAAATCAGATTGGCGCTACGTTCTTGACGTATTATTGTTCTGATGATGAGCAATGTAAATGACAACTTGAATGATTATAATATTTATTAGTATCTCAAGTAATGTTTTTATTTGTCAGTACGCGGATGTGTTTCCGGGTAACGCGACAGTGTTCTCGCTGACGCGGCTGGAGCGCGAGACGACGTATGTCTTGGCTGTCCAGGCCCGCAATTCAAAGGGCGAGTCTGCCTTCACCAGCGAGACTGTCCAGGCCACGACTAAAAGTGAGATTCTTATCTCCTAATAATATTTTGCTAGTTATTGCTAAGTAATTTGAGTGTAGGGTTGTACAGTAGAATTAAGTACAAAATTTATTTATTTCGACGAATGAGTGTGATGAAATACTAGCTATAATAGAACGCTTGCATATTCTAGTCCTGTTCGATTTATTTTTGGAAGTAAGTAGTTCGTGAAATCGCTGCTTGAATATTGATAGTCCGTCTTTTCCAAAATAATGGTTGGAAATGATGGATCTTAGATGTAGTCGAGTCTTAGTTTGTGTTTACGTCAGTATAAGTCGGGTGTTAGTAAAGCAGTCTAGGTATATATTATAATGGCTCCTTCTTTGCCTGGTTTTCAAGTAGTCTGGGGCTGGCTTTATTGGTTAATTTTTAGATACGCACAAGTGATACATTTTAGCTTTGACAGTATTTATTTCATGGCAGTCACACGAGTTAATCTTTCTGATCGTCATTCACGTCGGTGATACAATACTTAATTTTTTTCAGTGAGGAAGTCCTGTTTTTTCCTGAATTAATTACTATGCGACGTCCACTACTAAGCAGCCCGAAACTATTGAATTTGTTGCAAGGAATGTTCGACGACTATTGCATTAAAAATTTTAGCGCTAATTATATAATTTATTGGAACAATTTTTCGTAATATTAATCTCCTATGCAGGGTACTTTGTAGCACACGAGCACATTTATTACTAATCCCGCTCGCCATTCATGACAGCCTAATTGAATGTATTCTTAAAACCTTCAACAGCTCATTATAAGTGCTGCTGAAGTTCGTAGAAGGCAAAAGTCCACCTCATTATTCGGATATTGCACCCCTGCAAATTTTATTGCGAAAATAAAGGCGTAAAATGACGTGGTACAATAGATGCCTTTACCGATGTCCCTGACTTTTATTCCCGCAGCTGATAATTAATTAATCGCAGGAATTGCATCCTGTTTATTTGTGATTGCACAATATTTACCTCAATATGAGTAACCATGTTTCAATATTAAAATGTCAGCATGTCATATTGTGACATAATTCATGACGTATTTCAAATTAATGTATGAATTCTAGATCGAATCCGTCACGTTATACGGGTATGATGGAAAATGGGCGTCTGCGATGCCGTATTATTCTTATATTTACTCGTCCCAGTCGTGTAAATCGTTGCAAGATTTTGTATCTATTCTTATCTAGAATTGTGAGTTCATTCAATCATTGAAAATAGCTCTAAAAATGCTTTTGTGACCGAGTAGAAGATCGCTAAATAATATGAACAAGACGTGTTCTTTACTGGAAAACGTTGGCATACATCTTTCTAATTTAGAATTACCATCCAAATTTTTTACTTCTGATAGTTGTGTAGTTTTTTTGATCAGTTGTGTAACTTCATGTTGAATACTGTTTTTTGGGTTACAGGTTTTATTATTTTTATATTCATATTGTTAGAGTAAATTTTATGTGGGATCTTTGGTTTCTGTTCACGCTAATGAATTTAACAGGCTCGGTGCTGGGCTCTGAGGTGGACGTGTCAGATGATGTCACAAAAGAGTCGTCCGTGGCCAGCCTGTTAGCCATCATCATTACATTAGTTGGAGCTGTTTTGCTTATTCTTAATTTAGCGCTCGTCATCTGTTACTTCAAACGCCGTTCGTCTAAGAGACTCTCGACTTCTACAAAAGGTGCCCCGTTGTCGGCGTGATGCATCAACACTTCGCTTACGCGACTTGCGTACAAATATGCAAAATAATCCAGCCTGTTTTGCTTGCATGCTAGCGTCAGTTTCTTCCCCTAACTTGAGTGTGCCCTGAACCTTTTATTGCTTAGCTATTATATTTTGTTGCAGCTGTGCATGCTTTTATCGTTTTTATAAATGTGAACGTGAATTTTGTGTCACAATCTGCGCTCAACACGATTCATTTTTTGTTTGCAAACTTCCCGTGCAAAACAAATAAATCATCCAGCTCAGGAAAATAAAAATGAGTATGTAGTTTGTTGTGCATTAAATTACATCTTCATCTAACAACAGTTAAAGATCTTTGATTACTTTTTGAGTTCGTCTAAAAGTTCTCAACTTGAACGGATATCGCCTTGTGCTTTGTTGATTTACGGCTTGTTGGAACATTCGCCGATTCGTAAATCTATGTTTAGTCTCTGTGCGAGACATGATATTCTGCTTGAATAATCTCCGAATTCTAGTTTTATGAGTTGAGACTTGAGATTATTGTAACCGAGTTAGCATGCGACATTCTCCACGTGCAGCACGAGTCGTTTTTGTATACCGAATGATTTAATGTGCATCTTTTCTTTTATCATCAATTGTCTGGCCGGCCAAGAGAAAAAAACAACAGCTTCATTCATTAAGACATTAATGGACCAGCATGATCAATTTGCCACCCACGGCAGGTTGGGCTGCCCTGGACGAGGTCGAGTTGGCCATCTCTCGCGTGCTGGAGGAAAAATCTTCTTACCCAAAAGTTGTTACTTTGGCCGTATCGTCGGCAGCTTGTCTGCTGATCGTTATCAATGTGGTTCTGATTGCTTGTGTTCTTTGGAAGCGACGCCGTCAGAATACCAGCAACGGTAAGACCGGCTTCATGACTTTCGGCGATCTGTTAATTGGTTAAAGGAGCCTTTGGGACTTCGGTTATCTACTCCAGCCTTTGGGACTTCGGTTGTCAACTCCTGCCTTTAATTGGGACTTCGGTTGTCAACTCCTGCCTTTGGGACTTCGGATGTCAACTCCAGTTGAAAATTTTTTAAATTTCTGTGATTCAATTATTTGCAGTGATGTCCTCAAAAAGTAGGCTATTATGTATGGTTACTTTTCAACTATATAATGTTTGAATGTCTATGCATTAATCATTACCCAGTTTGACAGAGAAATTTATTCCATTTTCCGTTGTATGCAAATTTTGTAGATTACTCCTCATTAGAAATTTTTTTGTAAACCTCTTCTTGCATGCGCTCACGATCATTACGTAATTATAAATCATTTTACTCGTGCAAGCATGTTAACCGCACGCTTCTCTGTGGATGTTTGTTGAATGATCTAATTAGTTAAGGCTTGTGAGGCATCTTTCTAACAACTGATCACGTTTCATTCAACGTTGTACTTCTCGGCATTAACATTTTTGCTTTAGTGATCTGTTAGAGTTACTGATAATCGATTTTCATCATTGCAAATAGCCATAATATATGTATTAAAATGCTCTTGACAGCTACATATAATTATATAATTTTGAAACTAAGTTGTTGAAAGATTATATATGAAGAATAAATATTGTTTCGTGTTGATTATTTTTCATACGGTTCAACTTTTGTTCTGGCGTCATAAATTAACGTATTGATTTCTTTGTCACAAGATTATTTCTACCGCTGACCTTTTCCCTGCGTTTGGTCAGGTTCGATCGACAAAGGCTCGAACAAGAGCAACGCCCTGGAGATGTACGCCCCGAGCTCGTACAACGGCACCGTCAACGCCGAGACGCTCTCCTCTATTTCTGAAAAATCTCGCACGAGCACAGGCCATGAGGTGATTATTTCAATTAAATCGCTTTGGTTACCTTTGCCTTCCCATTCTCTGATTGTATTTTCCTTCTACTTGCATAAAAAGATTTTACAAAATGATATTTTACATTGAAGTTATCTAATTTTGACGCTTTCATACAATTGACCCGAGAGCTGCTCTTCGTTTTCGAGTGTAGAGGAACCGTTTTTATTGAGCCGATGTCGTCCGTGTGATAAAACACCACGCGCATAAATGAAAATTTTTTATGATAAAGATGTATTTTTCTATACCATCATGTTAACTATTTTTAGGATTTTCTTTAACAAGCATGATGGGTATTTTTGTATAGAATCTCAAACCACCATAGTCATTAAAAATTATTCAAATTAGATTTTTTTTGCTGTCATTAAGATTTTAGCCAAATAACTTCAAATTTGAAAGTGTTTGATGTCTGTTATTCATTGATAAAATTTCATTTCAACACGTGTTCCGTCATCAGGACGACTCTGTATTTGACGTGAGCGACGTGCGCCCCACGGCGTCCCCGAAGTACCTCATCGACCGCCTAGAGCCTCCTGTGCAGTACGCCTCGCAGGGACCCTTGCAGTTCACCAACACCGACGCCCCACTGCACCCCGCCTCTATGACCCAGCCTCACAGGAACCAATATGACCTCGACTCGCCTTATAATATGGGTGAGGGCCGGGTGTTTCTTATATTTTATCGTATAGAAATAAGTGCTGCGCATAAATTTACTAGGACTTGTATTTATTATATTACTACTAGGACTTTATTATTTATACTAGGACTTGTATTATATTATATTATATGTCATTCGCTAGTGATGACGATACGCCTAGATTTCATAAAAATGCTTAGGACGAAAGAACAAATTCATGAATTTGTGCAAGTTTATAATGAAGCTCCAAATCTCCTGGTTATTATGGATTAGCTTAGCTGAACGCCTGGTGTTCTGATAGAAATTGTTGATGTGCAATATTTACGTCTATTTACCATACATAATTCTCTCATTTATCCAGATTTGCACAACCAAGGCCTCAGTACGCTGGACAGGCGCGGTAACCTCTCATCTCTACCGCACGCACAATCTCCTCTTCAATCAAGTTACATGAACCAATTTTATTCCCCCGACAACCTATCAATGAACCGCCACAACAACAGCCTCACTCGCCAGGGCTACCACGCCTCTGAGAACCCGTACCCTCGCACGCAGGCCCCGAAGTTACAGTTCCCCAAGGACTACATCCGCAACGGATCAGCCATGAACTCGTCACTGTCACCTCCCCGCGGCGGGGGTCTAGGATACGCACCTGCGAGTCCTGATCGTATGAGCCCCCCAGCTCTGCCGCCCCCCAGAACACGAGGGCATCCCATGCTCACCACCTTCGCGGGTGACCACATCGCCTCCTCTACTCTGCCCATGGAGCAGCGCGGTCATCTCGTCTAAACTCAGACGTGGAGTGTACATTTTCTTTGCTATTTTAATGGTGCTAATTTGTTGTATTATTACATGTGTACTTGGGGCACCAAAAGTTATGACAATCGCTTCTCAAGATATGGTGTTTGTGTGAAGATGCAACTGAAATCTCAGTTATTTTGAGACTTGTGACGAACTTCTCATACAATAAAATCATAATAACCGAACATTGGCTTCCTGTTAGCCTCGAGGTGGAAGTTGGCAATGATGCAATAATTGCCTGAGTGATGGAGTGTGATAAGAATAGTACTAATGTTGAATTATAACTTCGAACGACGCCTTCATGTGTTAAAGTGGGCGAAAAATATTGGCAGTGAAATTCATACGAACTGAGCGTATACTTGATGAATTCAACTGTAGCGATCAAGAAAGTCGTGTCCGCGAGTGCCTGTTATCATAATTTTTTATGTCGTTGTCTTTTTCTGGTGTTTGAAGTTTTGTCTTTTAGCTTTGATCGGGACATTCTTTAAGAATTACTAGTTGTTGTTGTTAAGTCTTACTATGATCTCTCATTATTAGTGTATTGTGCATCGTATTAACGCCTCTTTAGTTCCTTACATTTACGGTGAATTGCTTCTTGTAAATATTGTTGAATAATTCTTGTTTGAATCAAATGCTACTTGGTTGCCAGATGGGATCACTATCGGTCCAGTCAACATAAACCTATTGATGTTATTAAAAGCGCAATCATTGATGAGGTGCGGCGTATAGCAGTCACGCCACATGAATCTAAGCTGCAATATACAATTTAAGCGTAAACCTTAGGTATAATTACTGAGTCTGAATTTTTCTGAGCGGGAGGAATGTTTGGGTTTCTCTTAGAAAAATTGCTGTTTAATTTCAAAAGGGTTATTATTCCATAGCGGCTCCGCATCTCCTACACGCGCCTCCAAATAATTTTAATTTTTATCCTTTCTTACTCTGATTCCCTGAGTGAAGATCAATGGTTTATTCCTTCCTTTTAATCATTTTTAGGTTTATCGTGTGGGATAAATTACACACGGGTCGATTCCCATCTCTTTCCTGCAAATATTAGTAATGCAATTAATTATAAAATTCTTTCGCACTTAATTTTTTTGATATAATTTCTCAGATTGAATGTAATTTGTGAATATGCAATGATTTATTTTCGTAACTATTTACCGGGTATTTGATGTAGGTACGGTAAGTGATGTCGACACAATGGCCGAGTAATTAAGTGCACACTGATTGGAGCAGTGAGTTGCGGGTACGAGTCCCAGCAAGCTGTAAAAACTAGCAGCTAGCCAGACTTTAAGAAATCTTTGGCCAGACTGTCGACATTCGTTGAACATTCATCGCATAACTTCCAAAATGTAGTGAATAGAATTTTCGCTTGAGCAAATAAGTAGAGATTACTGGAAAACATGATCAAGGCTTGGCTGTGATTGAGTATAGCTTTGTAGTCTTTCTACCAACCTGTACTAGAGCAGTCACTTTGCTATCCGTGTTCTAGCAAATAAAATAGCTTATCGATTTAAAGGGATTAATTCATTTTAGAATTTAAAACATACATTTCTTAATAATGCCAAATAGATTTTAAATCATATCAATGGATTTTCCATTACGCTATAAACTTTCCGCCTTCCGTACTTTTACTAAAAAGCGGTGTTTACTCGATTGCAGAGGTGACATTTTCACAAATAAAAACCTACAATTTTTATTATTGTTGTAAATTTTGTTCCAAATTGAACACCTCATCGATGCTGATTAATGTGCTGATGCTCTGTATATCAAAAATTCAGTCCGGTGTAGTAATTTGTTACTATAATTGTCGTAAGTCTCTATTTTTACCTAAGATGGGTCGTAATTACTTCTGCATTGATTATTATTGTGAATGAAATAAGTTTTTCTATAGGACTCAATGCATCTCAAACCTGTACGAATGTCGAATCCACATTTTTCTCGATCGCGCTATTTGTTTAAATTTTTCAAGAGTGTTTTTAAGCCCAGTATAGAGCCTACATTGGTTTTGACTGTCGTTCTTTATAAACTCGTGATTCTTTGTACATAATTTTGATCTAGGATAATGGACGGTGCAACTCACCGCATAACCAAATAGCTATACATTTACGACATTTAAAACTATTATTATAAATATCATCTTCAACTCGTCTGTAAAATAATTCGCCTTTTTGATCGTACATTATTACCACTACGAGTGGGAAACTGCTCAGTATTTTTGCCTTGAATAGAGTCAAGCATCGATAGCTCTTTTATTAAAGTTATGGCCAATTCTGTGTACCTCTTTAGAGTTAATGTCGCCTCAGCACTAGCTGTTTAACATGTATGCCTGTGAATCATTGATCTATTTGTCGGTCCACAGTTCAGTATCTACGTTTCATGTTCGTGCCGTTGCCCCTTTGTGCTCTCTTCATATTTACGGAAGCTTTTTACTCCTACATAGTTGCATTACCTCATGAAATGCGTCGGGTTATTACAAAGTCAAGGTTTTAGTTATATGCAGCGAGCTTCTTCCAAGTCTGCACGATCAGCTTAAGTAATGTGCCAATTCTTTATAGTTTCGCAGTATTTACATCGCAAACGCGACTGTTTTTTATGGCTTCGCTCTACTACTGAAGACTACAAATTTGTTTTGTTTTCGACTCGAAAAACTCAATTGTGATTACTTTAAATGATAACAAATTTAATCCTCGTCACAATGGTATCGTGAGAAATTTTCGAATTTGCTGTTCTTAGCACCTAAACAACCACTACAGCTAACGTCAATTAAATCTTAGAAATTTAAGGAAATTCTTGAAATGTTACGCGCTGTCAATTTCAACTAAAACTGCCTTACATTTGACCAATGCTCAAAATAGGTCGCTGGTTTGAAAATTAGTTCCTAATATGATGGTTTTTGAATATGCACGCATCCACCTTATGTCTATGTTAATTTCTTACGCCGTGTGAAGAGAATTGAATGAGATGCTTTGCAGTAACAGATTTGTCATGAGTTTTATACAGGCCTGGTTAGCTAGATAATTACTCTTAGTTATTATGTTCGTGATGTACATTCGCCAGGCGTGTGCTCATTAAAATATCGTCGTTGCCCAGCAATCAAAGAAGATGCGTTTGTCCATCTCGGTGAATCTTGCGTTGCCAAACTGTTTATTAGTTATGTAAGGAAAGAGTCTAGCGGATCATGAATTATAATCAGTAAATGTTGTTTGCAAAGGTCGTGTCGTGATCATACGCGATCGCTGATAATCTTCTCGCTTACTTTCTTTCGATTGTTTTGTAAACCATGGAAATTGTTCATGAATATTTTTTTTAACAGTTTACAATTTATTTCTTCATAAGTGTGCAGCAATAAATCTACCTTCGACTCTCTTTTTATATTTAAACATCCGGATTTTAGTATAAATAAATTATGTCATTATTCAGACACAAGTAACACGTCAAAAACATCAACTACAATATTATGCTGCATAAATTAAATATGCCTAAACGTCTCTCGTAAACACCTGATAACAAACATGCTTAACCTGATAACAAACATGCTTAACTCACGATGAGAGATGACTATATTCAAAGTTTAACGCATAAATTTTCTTAATTGTAATAAACATTATTGTCTATGCAGCATTTAATATTTGTTAATCAAGCATTTTCACATTGAATTACCGCATGTGATCATTGCGCTGAGATGATCATATAACAGCAATGATATTATTTTATCACAGGGGTGATAATTCGCAGTATCACTACTATTACCTCTCAATGACAAAGAATATGACTTGTTGATCAGTTCAAAATGCTATAAATATTCGGAATAAATATCATTTAGAATTACAAACTAATTCTAATATGCTTACCCCTCAGGGGGGACTTCTGACGTGTGTCTGTGCTCGTCAGAAGTCCTATGGGATTTCGCGTTCCTAGGGGGATTGTTCCTGAGCGCCCCACCGCGGAGCTCGCGGTGTCTGACTGTAGGTCTCAGTTGTGGGGTTAAGTTATTATGTAGGTAGGATTCCTTATATTCCCCTTCTCTGTCTCTCTCGTGCGGGCGGCCGACGTCCCGTGTAAGCGACCTTTTGTTCGAGTGTCTTCGTTTCTGTTGCTTTTCACCTGTCCCTCCTTGTCACTTCGTCTCTTTGAGATGCTAACGCTGCTTCTTTCGAGCCAGCTTCAGCGGGCTGGACATCCGAGACCTTCCGCCCCTTGTGGGTGATGAATAATTGAGACCTTCCACCTCTATGGTGATGTTCATCTTGACTTTCGGTGCGAGATAGCTAAATAGCTGAAGCGCTAGTAAACATTTGGCCACTAAACTAACTAACTAATATGCTTATTCATAAATCTTTACCATGGAGTGACCTCATTGACGTTATATTCGCATAGAAAGTGCATATCAAAGAGGCAATGGAAGTCCGCCCATTGATAACTCAGGTGTCCCCCCACGAGGTACATGCAGTGCTGGTCCCCTCCACTGGGCTGTGATGGTCCCCACCCGGAGTACTGCACCAGCTGCCCTGCACGCCAACATACGTTATCTCTGGATGTCGTTACGAAGCTACGAGGTGTTGTTACGAAATTGGCCGTAACGAGAATCCTACAGTACCGGAAATGGCTATACGACCACCCAGTTTTTTCCGAATATTTTTTCTTGCACAAGAAATTAAGGGATTATAATTATACGAGGGTAAACTACGTTTAAAAATGGTTCCAACGATATGCGAAAAAAAAAATTTTCTCAAAATAATTGAGAAGAAATTAGGAAAATTAGTAAAACCTAGGTGAAAATGGTTATAAGGCCAGGATATGTTTTTCTCCATTTTGGTATCTTTCTGTAACATTTTCACTTTAAAAAGTACAGCAATATGAAGAATATATTGATTTTCGTCATTTAGGGCCTTTCTGGTGTACTTCTGGTGTAGTTCAGTGCCCTCACTTATATTTTTTCGAAGTAAAAAATATGCCAAATTGTACAAGACTCACGGAGGCCGAGAAGACGCAGTTTTCGGCTTTGTGAAATGCAGTAGAAGCCAACGGGACATCGAAATGGGAATAAAACGCTCAAAACCCATTGCACAATCATTTTTTTGCAAATCCGGGCGGCTACGGGTGAAAAAAGCACTCAGGACCAACCCCAAAATTAACCGACAGGGATCTTAGGAGACTGTTTTCTGAGGCTTCTAAAACTTGCGCTACCTCTACTTCTATATTGGCCACTGGAGTTGATGTGACAGCACGACGCATCCGTTAGACATTGGATGACTCGAAGAAATTCAAATACATGACGAGGAAAAAAATGCCCCTGTGCTCCAAAAAAGCATATTATCATCCGACAAAAATTTGCTGAAAAATATTTGCTTATTGGTAAGGGATGGCAGATGATTACCTTCAGTGATGAAAAAAGTTCAATCTTTATGATCCAGATGGATGGCAATGCTATTGGCAACACTGGACCGTGAGCCTGAGTTTTTTTTTTTTTTTTTTCAAGCGGCAATCTGGTGTTGGTTCGGTCATGGTTTTTAGGGCGTTTAGCTGAGAGGGAAAATAAACTCTAGCTATTATACATGGGAGACAAGATTCCGAGCCTTACATAACTTCTCCCTTTTGCCGATGAGAAACATGAGGGAACATATGTTTTCCAGCAAGACAATGCTTCGATTCACACCTCAAGATCAGCAAACATGTGGTTCCTAGAGCAGAATATTACTCTGTTGCCGTGGCCGGCGCTTAGTCCTGACCTCAACCCCATTGAAAACTTATGGGGCATCATGGCGAGGGATGTTTACCAAAATGAGCGCCAGTTTCAATCTGTGAGTGACCTGAGCACGGCTATCCTTCGTTCTTGGGATAAAAATTTTCAAAAGTCACTGGATTATATGGTAAATAGCGTGGGGAGAAGATGCATTGAGGTAGTTATGGCGAAAGGAGGTGAGATTGCCTATTAAAATGAGTGTATGTGATCTACAAACGGAAAAACATATCTTGGTCTTATAACCATTTCCACCTAGGTTTTTCTAATTTTCATAATTTCTTCTCATATATTTTGAGAAAATTATTTTTTTCGCATAGCGTTGGAACCGTTTTTAAACGTAGTTTAACGTCGTATAATTAGAATCCCATAATTTTTTGTGCAAGAAAAAATATTTGGAGAAAACTGGGTGGTCGTATAGCCATTTCCGGCACTGTAGATGCCTTTGTGAAATACCAATATGTCGTTACGAAATTCCGAGATGCTATTACGAAATCTCGTGACGAATATAAACTTTATTTTAAAATATTGACTATATAGATGCAAGACTAAATTAATAATTGATTTCCTAGTTGATTTATTAATAATTAATAATAACAAACAACTATTAAAGATAAATTTCTTCTCAATATTACTGATATGATTTACTTTTTAGCATCATTAGCAAAATTTATGAAGAATCAGGAAATAATGAAAGCCATGGCTGAATTTTTTAGGTTGAAATACGCTGATATAAATGGTGAAAAACGTGAAATGTGTTCATCTGTGGGGAACACGGCACTGAGTGCGACACATCGGCTGGCGTTGCTGCCTCACCTGTGGGGAACCACGTCCACTGGCCGTCGTGCCCGTTGTCGGACCCGCCCACCCAAATCCCCGTCTCGTGACCTCCTGTGGACACTCGACCGTTACGGTCAAATGTTCGCAAATAATGCACATCACAGCTTTACACGTATCAATCAAACGGGCATTCATTGACAAAATCACTGTTAAGTACTAAATGCCAGACATCGCTTCAAAGCGTGCATGTACTATTTATAATAATGGGATTTGCACGAACCTTCACGTTAAGCATCACAAAAACGGGAAATTCATGCTGTATGAATATATTTAATCTGATAAGTGGTTAGACGGTTCCGTTCAATGGGACATCAATAAGTACTTCTGTCAATGGCAGCTGTGTCGCCAGTCGTTAGATCCTGAACTTAACTCGCTTTTCATCAATAAAATTTGTAGGGTTCGATTACCACATAATAACCACGAAGCTGGTTGGATCTTGCTAGAATTTTCGGTTTAGCTTTGCTTACAAATAAATTGTTCATATTTAAGGTTGGCGCCTGTATGATGTGGCATAGACGGTAGATAAGATCCGATCCATTCGTTCAAGAAATTGATTCTTACAAGCCCTGCCAGCGTTCCAAAAAATTATATTAGTAACTTCATAAAAATCACCTACCAGAGGCTCTTAGGAATTGTTTGATGAAGAAATTCTCTCTGGATGTTTCTATGGTGGCCAAAGACACGCTGCTGCCGAAGCTGTGGCAAAACTCTAAGGCCCGGAACCAATTCAGAGGGAAACGCCCGAAGAAATAGCAGCGGCCACCCGCCTCCTCAAACGCCATCGGACACTTGGTGTGAAGACCCCAGATGGTCACGGCCCGGCCTGTACAAGGAAGTTATTCAACATTGATAAACTTTTAGTATATATAATATTAATTGTTTATTGTAGCACAAAGAATTAAACATAATTTATTAGATTGAGGAGGCTCCTATTTTGCCATTTAAAAAAGAGAAGTCGCGTGGACATGTTCACTTGGGCAAAAGTTGTTTTAAGGAGAAAAGAATTAAATGATATATCTCTACTTATCTCATCCTTCTAATTCAAAATAGCAAAAAGGAGAATCATAATTAAAATATTTTCGTTTAACAGCCAAAATTTAATTTCTATACGCAATCCAAATAAAAAGGGGACAATATTAAACCGGGATGGACAGTGATATCTGATGACAGGTGAGCGATTTAAAAAAATTCTGTGATATTTAAGAAAACTAATCAACTTACCGGTTTTCTGCGTATCATTGTTCGTGGACGTTTCATTGGAGGCCAAACAGAGCACGCGACTAATGAGAAGGACTCCAATAAGCCGAGCTCTCACCATGGCGTCTGATTGCTTCCGGAAATCTGATCCAATTACTTTAAAGTTCAATTTTAAATTGGGATCATTTGGTCATGATGCACGGCTCAGTGTAGTGACTAATATTTATAATAAAAACTGCAAAGTTACTCGTTGATCTACATGACATCAAAATACTATGTGAAAACTACACTGAATCAATCATTCAGAGCAAATTTCAGCGAAAAACATCGATGAGAATGATGCAAGCAAATTGTTTATATGGTTTTTACAAAGGCCCATTAAGATTTACGCTAAAATTTAACAAGTGCGTTTCCATTCATGAAGAAAATTTCACTGCAGGTATTTATATATAAATAAGTTAGACACAAGGAAATATTTTTATATACAATTTAATAGATTATTTTCACTCGCCAAATATTCTCTCACGATTCTGTTTAATTCTTCGTAGGATGCACGACGTTGATAATAATCTTCACTAGAAGTCTAAATATTCTGACCCAGAAGCGAAGGAATCGTTTCTACCATTCTTTGTTTAGAACATTTGAAGTCACGACACTGTAGCCAATTAAGGGAATTCAGTCGCGAGCAGCTCGAGATGAGGCCTTTGATGTGATCGACGCACAAATGCCGCGCTAGAAGTGTCTGTGACGAGGCTGCTATACGAGGTTACTGGAGCACGGGGAGCTTAGCGACGCCTACCCAACCCCTGTTTGTGGCGTAAAATCAGCAACGGTTCGCTAAAATATAATTAATGATGTGTTAGATAAACCTCGTGCAAGATCGTTGAAAATTTAATACAGACCAGTTGCACCAGGTAATATCGAACACTTGTCCAGTGTCCATGACGTAGAGTCAGCAATGATTCGCATGACGAATGTGAAATACCATTATAATTTTTTAATAAACTTGCTACGAGATAATCAAAAATAAATTATAGACTAGTTGCATAAAATGCTTTTCGACTAATGTTGAAATGATCAACATAATTATCGTACGATTTATGTCACTATTTGATTATATTTTCATGTGACCTGAGACCCTAGTAAGTTGATCAACTCAATTAATGTCTAAATTAATCTCGCCATAAGTCATGAACGTAAAGAGATTTACTTCGGCTCAAGTGAAAAATAAAATTAATCATAATGCATCTCGAAGAAATGCAGTCAATTTAACTTGTTCAAAACGATTCTACCAACAAACGGTGCAGAATGTAGAAAAAATGTGTCGGAAAATTTGTACATGCACAATTTGTGGAAAATTCAATTAAAACCAAACCAAATTTACCATTCTCTCTTTTTCTTCCTGAAGTATTTAATACCGGCCCATGGGAAGGTTTTTTCAGCGATATCCTCTCGCAGCTGGCGGTTATGTCATCTGATTTATAATATGTCCATTGGTGAAACGATTTCCGTTGATAATTCATGAAAATTCCACGTAAAAAATTATTTCAGTACATGCAAAGTTCACAATCCATCTAAAACTTTAGAAGAAAAATTATGAAATGGAAAAGAAATGAATTCAAATTCATGAAGGGCCAAACGAGATAATAAAAGTTCATTGAAGTTCGCTCTGGCTTTACAGGAGAAGTCAAACCGAAAAAGGAGAAGTAAAAACGTTCACGTCATTCATTTGCAAGGACTGTTTAAGGCAGTGAAGTAGCGAGGACTGGCAACGGTAGCTTCAGATCCGCTGGGCTCACAGTGAGGTGTGCTTCTGGGGCCTTAACTTGTTGCTCTATCATTTTGTGATCCGAGCGAGGTAAAAAAAAAGGAAGTTCAATACAGGTAAGTTTACTGCTAGATTAAAATACAACGCAAAAATGTTTGCAAATCATTTCAACCATCGTGAATTCACATTAAGATTTGTATTCATATTCTTCTAAGAAAACAATTCATTTTAGCGGCGAGACGTGGATCGAGATCCGGCTCATGTGTGAGCGGGAAAACGAAAGCAGTGAAAATGACTCCGACACCAACGTGTGCGCGACACGCAACGAACCGAGAGTCAGGGGAAGGTTGCGGTCGAGCGTCTGGCAGACGGGATGAGCAAACTTGCACACTGAAACTGAAACCATTTTTATGGTCTTCGTTCAACAGTCGGGTGATTTCAAAGGACCTGGAAGCGTGAATACTAATGAGTCCCTCACTGTCATCGCGGTTAGTGTCCCCCTTATTTTGAACAGTTGGTTGAAATAACTTGTTTCAGAGGAAAGCGCGAAATTTTTTAAAAAAAAATATATAAACAAAGTAGACTCCTTGCACATCACAGTAGTCATAAGTGATTTGTATAGCAGACTATAATTTGGCCAGCATTTAGTATCGCGAATTCAGTAGTATTTAGAGCACGTTGTAACCACCAACACGTTGCACTTGCTTCAAACCTAAATATCCGTGTAACTTTGTTAAAATAATTAAAAACTTCCCTTTCCATGCGACAAAACTTCCTCTCACTTCACGGTTTTCCCGGTTTCCAGATCTCCTCTGAACAAGTCTCGCAAAGTATGAGAATCGGCAACTGGCCACGGGCCTATTTCTTCAGTACCGACTCCTCTATTCTATTCTATTATTAATGAGCGTAAAGCGCGCACTGAAAAAAATACGTTCGAAACTATGACAAATAACTTAGATACGTTCAATAGAGAAAATTATTATTTTACACGAAAACACATAAAATGGGCACAGAGAAAGCGAATAATAATATTAACTGAAATAAATTTTTGCATGGTATGTTTGCAATGTGGCCACGTCGTATCTTCTCACGCACCTGCTGCATGGATCATAACTCGCGGCACGACATTTATTTTTACGTGTCGCTATGGAATGTCGTGAACTCTATCCGAGCGCTCAACAGATAGTGAAGGTTTTCTATCAATTAAATGTCCGAGACACTTTCCCAGTTGAAGAGCGTGAGCTTTGATGAGTTTGCTCATGACTTTCTCACGTCCGCAGCACGCGCGATAAACGCACGAGTTTCAGTTAGGAACGCGGCGCGAACTTTCAGCTTGAGTCGCTTTAATTTCACTACAAATTAAAAGCTGGGAAATAATAGGATGAGAGTATCAAGGTATATGAAAAATCAGTGAAAAATGACCAAAGAAATAGTAAAGTAACAATAATGAGTGATGACATGAAAAAATATGTATACAACTATTTGAAACATAGAATTCATGCAGATGGAAATCATGCTTTATTTGAAAATTGGATCGAAAGCTCAAAGTAACGCCTCACTAATAAATGTTATTCCGTTAAGCTCATTCAAAGCACAAGATAACAAATTTTGAATCTTCAAGTAATCGTACGCAGCATTTAGCTCTAATACATATTATTTATAAAGGCTACACAAATAACTTTCGGTGTAAGAATTGAATTGCAACAACGCTCAACGTCAGTTACGTCAACGTCACATGGTAGCTGCATTGACCCTGCCGTGAGAACGACAGTGACGAGAAGAAGATAGTGACAAGTTCTTTAAACAATTAGCTGATCATGCAACGAAGAAAAATATACTTCACTGAAAAACGTGTGCGGAAAAAATTTAAGGCAATTCGCTAACTAAAATCCAAAAAAATTAAATTGTCAGTAGGACGAAATTCTGCGGCATCGTGCCATTAGGATATCTTAAGTTTCAAAAAAATTGCTACTTGATGACACAACAGCTTTCATTTTGTCAATAACTCTGTCCTAATGATGTTATTCATTACATTTCCATTGCAATTTGCGATTTGCCGTTATGATCAACAATTTTACTCACTGAGGTGATATTCTTAAAAAGGCTTATCTGCAGAATTCAATGAAATCACGCTTAAAAATGTAAGGTTCGACTACAAATCCGTAAAAAAGAAGGGGCAGGTTCATCTTTTGAAATTTAATGGAGGGAAGTACGCGATCGCTTTACCGCCAGAGTCTTACATATAGTTTATTATGACTGGAATTTTTTTCGCCCGCGTTGTGTTACCAAGCCGCGTTGCCTGACCTAAAGCACTGCCAGCAGGACACAAAATATCAATAAATGTGAAAATTTATACATAAAATCAAGTGCTTTTCATTTGCGAATTTGTCTACATAGCAGCACGGAGAATAATTTCAAGGAATGAAGATAATAGATGAAATGAGAGGAATTGATGCATGATGCGCGAGGACGTAATTCATGAAAATGAAGCTAATTTTGTTCACTCAGCGAAAATAGATGGGAAAGTGAGAAATCGTGGATAATATTTATAACACTTTTATTGTGAAAATTATTGAAGCACTAAAATCAATGAAGTTATATTAGATTTTGACTTTCATTCTTACGCATTCAATACCCGTTTCACCCAGAAATTAGCTATCAGAATAGCACGAGAAAACAACTGTTACGCATTACCCATATATTAATTGAGCGATTTCTTAATCGAAGTTTTTGAATGTCTCGTAATAATTTACTAAAGAATTCAATTACTGAGCATGAAACAAGTTCAATTAACTGGATTCGGAAATTTTTTTCTGATTTATTAAGGCATCAATTCACCAGAGAAAGGTTCTGAAATCAAATTTAAATGATTTCGGGAATGATGGGAGCGTTATTCGCGCCATCCACTCGCTCGCAGCAGTCATACACTGACGCCTACACTGTCACGTCCAGGCCTCTACTAAACGCACTATTCCGAGGCGAGTGACAAAGAGCCGCTCGCGCGACTCGTCAAGCTCTCTACTGAAAAAATTGCCTGGAAAAGCCTAGACATAAGATTAGTTGGGAGTAAACTTTTCTCTCTGTCGCTCCATCAGATATGAAAGTTCAGAAGCGCTACGTCGTAGTCCGATACTGAGATAATAACAGGGCCCTTTATAGTGGACTCTCGTGAGACGAAACCGATGAAACCGAATGCCTTTAACTGTGGGACTCACTGACGTGATTGTAGCCTTGCGCTAACCGAGCTCGGCAGGATTAATTAAGAAGTGTCTTTGTATAACGACGCAATGTCGGTAATCTTGTCTCAATTGTATGCGAATCAGCATCGTATAGAAAATAGGGATAAAAAGTTTTTGTTCCTCATGTAAATTAATTAAAGCACATATGACCAGCCTGATAATTAAGCAGAATAGCAGCTTAAATCATGTACACGTGTAAGATATTCGATTTACAAAGCGCATGTTCTCAAAATCAGCTTAAGAATGTGATGGATCGCTAGTTGGAGTGAGTCATATAACCATAACTCATATTTTTCGCATACTTGCACATTGTCTGACACAAGGCACTCTCGTTGCTGTCATGTCTGCGCTAGGGTTTAATAGTTCAGTCAAGTAGCCACTGCAGTAATTCGCCTCATTTCAGTATCGACGGAATAGCTGCGGGGCAGAAATGCAGTCTGTTGTGTTAAAATAATGAAAAATAAAATACTGTGACGATTTCTTACAATCGACGGGTGGCTAATTTATTTCATGTTCAAAAAAGCATTTAATTTTAATTCAATTGACCAAGTTTTCATATTCATTGAAAGCTCATTTTACTTATCTTGAAATGAATGTCTTTCAACGCTTACCGGAAAGTGCACATTCGCTTTAGTTTGGCAGGCATTTCGTTTTTATTGAGAGCAGCGACTACTTTGTCATTAGCAGTTAGCGTATGAATTTGGACATTCAATAAAAATATACGTAATTATTTAGATCAAGTTGGTACCAGCAAAATACAGTTGATTTTTGTCAAAAAAGAGGAGAGTGAATCTTAACATCAGCAGCTAACCGCAGAGAGCCATGACGTTGAGTAAGCTAAGTAAAGGGTAACACTTTACTGCAGAAAGTGGCGCTCTAATCACATAGGGATATATATTCTATTGAAAGAGAAGTCAATGTGTCGTCGAGATAGCGATATAATAATTGAGTGGAAAATGAAAATCGAGGATTAAAAAAAACATACGAAACTGTGCTCAAAATCTATGTCGAGAACATGAATTAAGGCACTTTATTATAGAAGATATCTTACATTTGGTAAATTCAGGATGAGAAGAAAGATAGTGTTATTTATATTATTTATTATAGCGTGTAAAATTTACACAGTATTTACAGTCCGATAATAAATACTAATTATAATATCACTAATAATCCATTAGATCTTTAGATGTGTTAAGGAGGAATGAAATTAAACAATACTTGTATAATGAATATTCCTCCGGTCATGAACTACTGGCTTACAACTAATCCAATGTACAATCAACGACTAGGTGTTCATGAAAAAATATTCAGAATAAAATAAAGGGTCAACATCGGCCATATGTGGTAACGCTGAAACAAAATAAAATCAATTGCATATTATCGATATTTTTCATATCAATTGTGGGTTTTACAATAAAAATATTAAGAAACATCAAAAGCGATTGTCGAAAGTGCGAGCGAGGGGACCAATCAGAGCGCTGAAATGTATAGGCCACACGATCGCTTTATCTCCAACTTTATAACACTAGGGAACCAACTTAGAATAAATCATTCCCGATGAAATATTGTTGTTGAGAGACCGAGAACACACCTTGCATAATGTGTATCTCTACAGACAAGTTTTGAGATTTGATAACATTTTTCAGAGATTATTTGTATTGAGGGCAGTTTTCTCTCTCGCAATTTAGGGATGAGTGTTCATAATGCAACACGGAAAACAGAGAGAGAATTAATAAAAAACGAAAAAATTGTTCGCACAAAAAATACGATTGATTGCGTCGATCTTGAATCATAAGAAATTCAAATTGAAATTCATGTTTACTGGAAATCAGATGAAAGATGAAGAGCGCAAATAATGTGTCACTAAATATTTACAAAATTAAGCACTGGTTGGTCCCGCAGTGATTGTGCCTACCAAAAATAATACAATAATAATTAATAATTTGACTAGGAAATTAACGTAATGGGTGGGAGAATATACAGACCATTTGTGTGACATATCCGAATGTAAAATAAGGAAGAGCAATTAATAGAACTTGGCTATTAACAATTAAATTACAGAAGTGTGGTCAAGCATTCCGTGCAAAACGAAAACGTCATTGTAACTAAGCTTATTCATGATAATGCTGCTAAAATGGGAACGGTCTTCGTCGGATAACAATACAGATAATTATGAACGAATCAAGCTGTTCAAACGCTATTTAAACGAAATCTTAATCATATTTAACCAGTTCTTTCTAAAACTCAAGTCACACCTAACTTGGATTGACAAGGGACCAGACGGTGGGACAAGGGACCTGACGGTGGGACAAGGGACCTGACGGTGGGACAAGGGACCTGACGGTGGGACAAAGGATGTGACGGTGGGACAATGGACCTGACGGTGGGGCAAGGGACCTGACGGTGGGGCAAGAGACCTGACGGTGGGACAAGGGACCTGATGGTGGGACAAGGGACCTGACGGTGGGACAATGGACCTGACGGTGGGGCAAGGGACCTGACGGTGGGGCAAGAGACCTGACGGTGGGCAAGGGACCTGACGGTGGTACAAGCGACCTGACGGTGTGTCAAGAGACCAGATGGTGTGTAAAGGGACCAGACGGTCGTTCAAGGGACCTGGTGACGGAACTAGGGACCAGGCGAATAAGTGATCAGGGACCTCACGACCAAATCAAGAGCCGCATGTCTCAGTTCGGCAAGGGGATGTCACAGACGAGGGCCTTCATGAAGGCAGCGGCGGCAAGGGCGGCGTGAGGCTGCCATTCTCTGTTGACGCTGCCGTCCCTGCAAGGAAGAACCGAGCGTTAGCACTGCGCTTGCTATATACAATGTGAATCCCAAGTGTCAGCATATACCTCATGACTTACAAGTGTCAAGTATAGAATAGATTGAAAAAATTGCACAATTCATTAACGTTAAAGATAACAGTGAGGGAGTCAATACTGAAGAATGCCTACCCTCTTCGACGAATGCCTCCTACAATACTAACGAAAGAAGTGAAGCCGTATTTCATGTATAAAAGTCATTCATATACCAACGCTTTGGAAGATAGAAGGAAAGCCAAATGTGCCGCCAAAACAGTGCGAGGCCGTCTGATCTATGAAAATAAGCACACCACACACACTCGGAGCACAAATATGGCGTTACGCCACCTAAGCATTCACTAAAAAGTGACTCACCCAGGTAAGAAATTCGTACAAGTTAATCGTACAAGAAATTGTACAAAATAAGAAATTCGTACAAGTTAAAGTATCAAGTTTAAGCATTTTCCAATATAACTATGTTTTTCAAGCATCAAATTGAGACATTAACCCAACCTAACTGTTTTATTCATGTACTACATTTAAGCATTGACCAACAATGCCCCAGTCTGACCGGTAATCCGCAATGCCCCTGATGACGGTGTAAGTGTCCTCAACGGTAAAACATTAACCCCCAACCTAACTGTTTAATTCATGTACTACATTTAAGTATTGACCAACAATGCCCCAGTCTGACCGGTAATCAGCAATGCCCCTGATGACGGTGTAAGTGTCCTCAACGGCAAAACATTAACCCCCAACCTAACTGTTTAATTCATGTACTACATTTAAGTATTGACCAACAATGCCCCAGTCTGACCGGTAATCAGCAATGCCCCTGATGACGGTGTAAGTGTCCTTCCTGTTGCCGTAGACGCTGTCGATGACGGCGTCCATCTCCTGGTCGAACGCCAGCACGCCGAGCTTGCCTGCGAAGTCCTGATGCAGCTCAGCGTCTGACACCACGCAGCGGCCTGACGCTATCTGGCCTAAATGTACACGAGAAACTCCCTCCGTGCTGCACGCGACAACAGCATTAATATTGTGTAATTATATAATATAATATGATATGATATAATATATTATATTATAATATAATATAATGTAAAAAATATTTTTTTTTACAATCTAGTAATACTGAAATAAATCAAAAGTACATGCACAACATTAGGGTATACATAGTTTTCCGGGTTGATGTCACCTCTTATTACCACGATAGAATATTTTCTGATAATAGCGAAAATAGATTAAAATTTGGGTCGACACAAATCCCGTAAAGATGTACTAACAGTAATGTCATAGGTGAGCACTGGGCATTTTCACTAGATCTGCGTGTCGCGAAAATTTCAAACATGGCCAAATTAATCATTTCCACTTACCGGACAGATTTCTGTCCGTCCTGAGGTGAGGGATGCGTCACTTGAATGACGTCAGAGCCTCCGATGTTCATGAAGAGTTTGTCTGTGGAGGCCGCGGGCCGCGCGAAGCACATCTCCTGGTCGGCGAGGGCGCGTTCAGACGCCCTCAGATACTCCAGCCACGGCGCCTCATCAGCGCCCGCACACTCAAACTGTAGTACAATAAATCCTTTATAGTTAGTGAAACTCTTAACTATCTGCATTCTGAGCTTAAGAAAACAAGAACGCTTCACGTGAAAGACGATTAAAGCAAAATAAAAAGTTCAGAGTTAGTCTAAAAAATTTATGAAAAAACACAGAACAATATTACAATACCACAGAACAATATATAGACATCAAATTAGCTAAGATGAACAATGTTCAAATTGTAAGTTATTCTGAAAAGTGACCTTATTCTTGAGTTTTGCAGCGATGTTCTGCAGCGTGAGGTCTGGTGGCCCCCAACTACGACACTCAAACTGATGACCGCCGTCCTGCTTCTCTTTGACAGACTCGCAGTACAGGTAGATGCTCCTGGCAAACACAATAATGCAAGCTACACAATAATAGCACCATGTAATAAAATCAAACAGAACTTAATTGGGGAGCTCGAATACATTTTCCAGATGATATAATCGAAAGTCGTGAATCATGGTCACGTGCTGCGGTCTCAAATAAGAGACACTTGACGATATGATTCATCATCATAACTTATTTCACGATTTCTGTCAACGAACACAAACGCACAGCGGAAAAGACTGCTTAAGAGAGTCGGAATAAAGTATTCATGTGTCACCTAATTTGGAGTGGAGAAAATAAAAACTGAACTTTGGATTTTATGTCAATAAAGCATTCATTGAAAGTAGTCCTCTCATCACTCTGAATTGGTTCATCTCACATGAAATGCAGCATTCTTGGAACAAAATAAAGTGTTAGTCGTATCCGTATATACTCGTTTAATACTTCTCCCTCACATATTTTTGCTCAATGTTCCCCTTAATGCTCATTGTCCCTCCTAAATTTGGTTAAATGTTTTTTTTTTAGAATATAAGTAAACAAATTCATCTTAAATAGATGAAAATGTGTTAGGGGATCGGATCGCACAAGGAATCATATTTACACCACAGTGAATGCACCAATTTAGTACTTCAAAGTACTTAAATTATCAGTCTGCTTATATCGCGAGTTCATAAGAAATTTAAAAGCAAAGAAATCGCCAAGCAAATTCACCGTATCGATATTGAAAACTTTTCGGAGTCCAGCTCCATCATCAGTTCGACAATCTAAGAATGAATACAATCATTTTATAAGTCAAAATTCTAAGTCAGACATAAAACCTAAAAATGACCTAACATTAAATCGAAACGTTTTCAACATCGATATGGTGAATTTGCTTGACGATTTCTTTGCTTTTAAATTCCTTGAGTACTTTAAAGAATTCAGGACTTTTAGGATACTGATTTTTTTACAAAGAGCCAACGAATAAAAATTGACAGTTACACATCATTTAGGTTAGTGTGATTCATCAGCTGACAATTTAGTCTATGTCCACCGATACACAAACGGCCGTTGATGTTATTCAGATCTGAATACTTTGCCTTTGCAATCAAAATAGGTTGGAGTTCTTACTTGCGTTAGCCAATCACTGACGGCATTTCAAGCTGAACAGGTCGTTACGTGTACTCAGGCTGCTGTATCTACATAGGCCGCTGCGTGTACGTATGCAGCCAAGAGTGCGTAAGCAAGTTTTTGGGAAGTACGACTTTCCCAGATAATTTGCAGAAGACAAGATTTTGTTAGGTGGCAGGAACTGACTTTGAATCAGGAGGAGGGGCGGCGACGACGACGTCGCCAAGCCTGACATGTTTGTTGTAGTCTGTGAAGTGTGGCACGCCGCCCGCCACCCCCACCAGCAGCACGTGCTCCACCTGCAGGAAAGTTCCTGCCGAGCAAGAAGAGGTTTCGCTCATCAAGTTTTACAAGAATTTTAAAAACAAAATAGATTGCCCAAAAATTCACCATTTCTTTATAAAAGGAAACTTTTCGGAGTTCAGCTGGATCCATCCTCAATGTCTGTCTGTGAATTTCGAATAATCAAGTGATTATTATAATTACTTGGATTTATATTTACTTCCTCCAAAACGGAGTTGCAAAGATGTGGTGAATTTTCGTACCATCTTCTTTGTTTTTAAATTCTTTGTAAATTTTGGGTCTAGTCATTCACATAATCTCAGTACGTTTCAGTAATCTCGTTCAGTTCAGTAGATCTCGTAGATCAGTTTCAGTAATCTCAGTATTCAAGTAAACTCAGTAAGAACGTTTTTCAGTGAGAGTTGCTGAGAGAAAGCAGCAACTCCAGAAGTAACGTGGGTAAAAGACTACGGGAAATTTTTTCCTTACAGTCTCGCCCCTTCCCCGAGGTAAGGAGACTGCCGCATAGCTTTGACTGCGGGCATTCTTTATGTTACCCAACTCTCTAACGATCATTAAAATAATATATATATCATTTACGTGAGTAGTTTAATTCTGCTCTTGAACCTATGTTGTTTAACACTGTGAATAACTGAAAAACTTTACCTATTCCAGCAGAAATAGATTTTCCTGACAATGTACAGCGAGTCTGATGAGGTTTAAAACACCGACATAAGCGTAAATATTCAACCAATAATCCAGCCTCAAAAATATATTGATTTGGCCTAAGCTAAATAACTATTTTTTTAGCCTTTACTGCCTGTCAGATAACAATTTCAGCGCCATATTCTAAATCCTCCAACTAAAATTAATGATTGTATAATTAAAGCACCATTTAAATTCTAATAGAATTCAAAATAAGTCAATTATTACCACGAACGGCTGCTGTCAATGACGCATAAAACACAGAGAAAAACAAGAACGCACCACCCCGCTCAGGACCTGTTATAAATGAATGGTACTCGGTGCACATCAAGCACAGACCATTTGCAATGGCACAATGAATTCAATAATGACATTTAAGTATTTTTTCTCGAAATGCTATTCATGTACACGGATCCATTATTTATCGTCGATGCTATTCGTATGTACAGCTGAGGATACAAGAGTTACCGTTAGCAGACGCATACGTTAGTTGCTAATTGAGCTATTATTGAGTTCTTAGGTTAATACTTATTATTAGGTAATTGTATTGAGCCGCACCAAGCAGTCGCGTGGTGGCGCTGCCGGCGGCGATGGACGCTGATCTGTCGTGGCCGATCTGAGGCAGTTTGGTGCAGACCACGCGATGGTGACCGATGTGGCCGAGGGTGTAGACGTTGCTCTCACCTGTACACCACAGCAATTGCTTTCAATGTTGACTGTTACATATTGGCCGTTACATATTTACCGTTATATATTGGCCGTTACATATTGGCCGTTACATATTGACCATTAAACTTTTAAAAAATGTTGACACTTTTACATATTGACCGTTAAATATTAACACAAGATACCGAAATAACGTTTGGAGAGCACTTTCATGTGTATTTTGAATGCTATATGATGCAATGTATCTCAAGTAAGGGAAACATCGTAATGGTTAGAACACAGGCAATAGGTTATAAGCAAGACACGTGAGCGGCAGAACGCACACCTCATTTCACTTTATGCACCACAAATATTGAATCAAATTGAATCATTGCTATTAAAATAAGGTACAACTGCGTAACAATTTAGGAAAGCACGTTCAAAATTCGAGGTAAAAATATCTGGTACAGGAATAAAATAAAATATATTTTAGGCTGAAATTCAATTCATGAAATTTGAGACGACTTTTGTCAAACCGGTTTTTTCAAAACAAAACTTGAAAAAAGTAATAAAAAATCAATAGTTTGGAATATGCGAACTGTGTCTGGTCTTTAAAAATAGAGCATCTGACAGGAGGAAAGCAATAGATTTCCCTTAAATTTAAAAACCGCAACAAAATAGAAACATGTGGAAAAAGTGCATGCAGAAGTTAAAGAAATAAATTGGTATACGTAAAATCTAACACAACCAACGAAAGGCTGGATCATTAAGCTGGCTTGATCATTGCCGAGGACAATATTAGTTCGGCAAAAAAAAAAACGTTTGAGATTGCGCAATTTTTGAAAAAAAAATGCTGTAAAACGATTTGACCGACCGGCCCATGATTCAATTATAATTTTTTTCGATTTAACACAAGAAACCCGTACCTCATTTGGAAAAAAACGGCGAAAATTTTGATTTTGAAAGGGACGGCAGTCCACTAGAACGCCGGTCAGACCGCTTTTCGCCTATCACTTAGGCATATCCTGGGGCCATACTTTCAAAACTCGCTAAGTGAACGTAAGTACTTACGCTCTATTTTCTTGTCTATGATTGGTGGATTTTGCTTGAAAGGCCATCAATGATTGGCTAATGAACTTACGATCTCTAAACTTTTTTTGAAAGTATAGGCCCCTGGTCAGCAGATCGTCTCACTAACGACCGGTTGGCAGGACGGGACTTTCGATGTAGCAGCAGTCACGTCAAAAATGTAAGTTCGTGCATCGTGTCATCGAACGCTAAGCACTGCACCCTAAGATTTGGGATAAGCTTTCATACACATAAAACATACAAATTTCAAGCTTTAAATTTAAACAACGATAAAGAATAATAGTTTAAACAAAAACAATTGTTCATCAAGCCACACAAATTAAGGGTTACATCGAAGATAAAGTGCGCGACACAAGCCTATGTACAGCTTGGCTGAGTAGCACACGGTTGGCTGATGTGAAACAAAGAAGCTTGGAAGCTGCAAAATCGAACAATTAGGCGGAACAAAAAAAAAACGCAGATAATCATTGCGATGCAACACACGACATACCGTACGCATTTCCTGAAGTAATGGATGCGGGAGATCAAGCATGGACCACCGCCAGGTATAGGAAGTAAGGCCATCGGAGAAATGATATTTACGATACATCAGAAATTGAAGGTGACAGGCGCTTGCAGGATGAAAATTTAATTTTCTAAATAGAGTTGAATAAATGAATGGAATATTAATAAAGATTAATAAAATCTAATGCAAAAAAATAATTCAATTCACGAAGTCTAAAAATACGTCTACAGGATAAAGGATGCAATACTTGGAAGGAATGCATTCATAACATACATAAACGATGATTTTCTTTAAATGTTGAAAGAGTTTTCCATTGAGGTCTAAGGGCCATGCGCGCGCAAATAATGTCCAATGAAAAATAATGTTCTGCCGAGGTGAGATTAAAACCGAACCGGACGCATTAAAAGATGTATAATTTTTCCCCCAATATTGCATATAAAAACCTCAAAATAATTCGATTTTCATTGCAATTTCATTGAACACCAAAAAATTTGTAAGGGAAAGTTAATACTAATTGGAACTCTGAAATATGAATAGAGCTCTAATAATAATTATAATAAAAATAATAATAATACAAATCTGAAAATTTATTGCACAAGCGCGTCTGGATTTATAATAAAGCAGTTACGGGCCTCCTGGCTTACGCGTGCGAGGACGTCGTGAAGTTCGCATGAGGAGATACAAGATCAGACTAAATTAAGCTAAGCGGAGTATATATTTAGATTATAAGTGCCTTCACCTCACAAATTGGTGGATGTTCAGCAGCTACTTAGCTGCAACGTCAGTTTTGGATAGACCCTGGTCAAATGGCCAGTCTCCAAGAGACAAGTCAAAAGCATTACAAGAATCTGCGACAGGCCTAATTTGGCAGATTTCCAGCCCCATTCTACATACTATATACTATGCCGTAGGGATGATGGATGCATGATAGATAGTGATGATGGATGCACGACAGATAGTGATGATGGATGCACGACAGATGGTGATGATGGATGCATGATGGCTGAGGTGTCCTACCGACGGTGGTGTATCGCACGAACGTCTCCTGGTCGCTAATCATTGCGTCGACGGCGAGCTTCTCGCAATAGTGAGCCGTGATGATGGCGATGGTGGGCTGCTTGCTCCTCACCATCTTGGGGATCTGGCCCACGACCTGCGCAACACATACCATGGGTCAAAACACAGTCACTGTTAATACAAAATACAGAAGAGAATCCTCGCTACCTGAACAACACAAGCGATGCGTATTGTGTAAAGATGTTGACACGAGTGTATCAATTTTCATACAGTCAATATTAATACAAATAAAGAATCAGATATAATCATTAACATCTCGTAGTCAATACGTGCATCCATAATTATGAATATCAGTCTCATCACAAGTATCATCAAGTATCACCTGAATATCAGTCTCATCACATGTGTCATCAAGTATCACTTGAATATCAGTCTCATCACAAGTATCATCAAGTATCACCTGAATATCAGTCTCATCACATGTGTCATCAAGTATCATCAAGTATCACCTGAATATCAGTCTCGTTGAGGACGACCCTCGTGTAGCAGTCAGGTGCCATGAGCTTCACAAGAGACTTGTCCTCGAGCGCCTTCACGAACTGCCGCACCTTCTGCTCCTCGGCGCACGACACGCGCCTGCCACCACGGCACGGTAATCACGACACAGCAATCAACATGCAATGTAGCACATATTATACTGTACACTAATGAGCGAACAGCAAACAGCACGATATTCAGCCTTCAATAAATAGAAAACTATTCAGCATACAGTATACTGCTCGGTAATCAGTCCTCCGGTAAATCGGACCAGTGTATGGTACATAAGATGAATTATTGAAGTCGACAGATTTGCTTGTATATAATTTGATTTGAATAAGTATTTCAATTACATTAAGAGGAATCAAAAGAATTTATTCATGCGGTAGCGCCTGACTGAACGAAATGAGACAACGCGCTAAGCTCAAGTTTATTTACTTACTCGGACGCGTCCGAGTAAGTGATGAATATAATCTATGGTTTACGTACGAAAGTTATCCTTAGTAAAATGAGAGCGGGATACGATCACCTATATAAGCATGATAATGAACTTTCTCTTTTACCTACGAAAATTCGAGATTCTGTCATTAAATCGAAGATTATAGTCTGTTTTAAGCTCGTCATGACAGAGCTGCACGTTAACGACAAACGTTTTCCCAGAGCTATTGTGGGAACACTAAAGTGGGCCAGTAGAATAAACGTTGTTTCTGATGACAGGTTACACACGGTTATTTTATTTTAATGTGTAGAAGTATTAAAATATTTTTTATTAATAAGTACAACCCGAGCTGAGAACTTGAGCTTCTAAGCAATGAACTGCCGTCATACACTAATTATATAATGTCATATACTGCCGTCATACACTAATTTTATGGAAGTTGGATCACTGCACCACCAGATCACTGCACCACCAGATCACAGCACCACCAGATCACAGCACCACCAGATCACTGCACCACCAGATCACTGCACCACCAGATCACTGCACCACCAGATCACTGCACTGACTTAGCGATGTCCTGTACGGTGACGGGGTTCGGGTACGCTGATTCTATCACCTCCAAAACTTGCTCTTCGCTGAGCTCGCGCTCTGCCTGCTCCACTGTAGAAGAAATATAATTTTTAAATGAAATTTTGAGAAGTTGAAATTGGAGAATTTTCAAATGTCGAATTTTCTCATCTTACGAAAAAGTTTACAATTCAGGGAAGAATTGTCACTCAGAACTAAAATGATTTTTGTTCAATGGTTTCCTTAGAATTGAAGAATATGAGAAAAACTAATGTTAAAATAATTTTGTAACACCAGCAATGAGCTTATATGAATTCGCTCAAACGGTTTATGTTAAAATAATATTTGCACCAAAGAAGTCGTAATATTTGTTGAAATATAATATTCATATTAATTGAAAACTCAAAATTACTGCAGAACCAATCGTTAAATACCGAAACGGAAGTGTATTTGTTATTAGTTCACACACCAAAGTTAGGTTCGAAGACTGGATACACTGCAGGTATATGATTATTTCCTCCATAAGACGTCTTCAAAGAAGGCACTACCTACACATTCAAATCGCAGGAATTGATTAGAGAAAATCATACGTCGGCAGCCGAAGTGATAGAAATGTTAGTTGCGAAGTTGCAAGTAAAAAAAATATAGGAACACAACTCGCATTCGTTTAGAAAATATAGGTTCTCAAACCCTTAATTTCATGTATTTTATCGAAAAAATGCGATTTACAAAATTTCGTTATTTGGAGCTATACGTAAGTGACAATGGTGGATTGAGGCCGCACTGGCATAATAACAAGTGGAACGATTAAAAAACAATGACCACACGCTAACGAAAAAATATTTTGCAGTTAAATACATCAAAAACATCAAAGCTACTGCAAGCGGTTCATCGTTAATTAGTATCTTCAAACTGAACGCAAATGTTGACGACATGAGCGTGCTACTTCTTACAAAAAAGCATCGGTTGATCGCGACCAACGGTGTGGAGAACCCAGCCTCGCGCAGCTGCAGTGCAAATTATATGTTCTTAATAAAATGTTATCCTTAAAAATACACTTCCTGCAAGCCCGCGATAAACTCTCTGTAACTTCGATTATAAACACTATACAATGAATGTCGTTCTCATTGAACTATCACACAATTTTGCTGATTGTGTCACAGCATGATTTTCAGCCAGACTGCAGTACTGTTACCAACAACTACCCACTAACAGTTATTCAAGTTACCGATAGCTATCCACTGACAGTAACTAAAGTTACCTGGGCTTCAGGAATGAATAACATTAGCGGGCGTTAATTTATCTGTAGAAACAAGGTTTAGACAATTGTGATTCGCCTTCGTATATATAATGTCAACCTGGACTGTAGCCTACACGATTATATTGTTACTATACGCTATAGCCCTATACGACGATAAAGCTAGTCTAGCCTCTCGCCCTATACGATGATAAAGCTAGTCTAGCGTCTAGCCCTGTACGATGATAAAGCTAGTCTAGCCTCTAGCCCTGTACGATAACATAGTCTAGCCTCCAGCCCTGTACGATGACATAGTCTAGCCTCTAGCCCTGTACGATAACATAGTCTAGCCTCTAGCCCTACACAAGTAGCGCAGGCAACTCACATGGTCGCTCAGGAGGAGCTTCAGAGTCCTGCAGCTGGCGAAGTTCCACCTCCACTTTACTGATGCCTTTATACGAGAGCTGTAACATCTTCATGATCTTCTTGATGAAACCCACGTAGTCTGCAATGATTTTATCGACAATCTTCGACTTACGAAAATTAAATTTGAATTACTTACAATATAGTCTTCACGAAATGTTTCAAGAGTCCTATTCTGAAGCTTTTACTTTTTTAACAAACCTCTTATTAGATTCAATTTCAAAAAATATTTCAACCTAAAATATAGTGTGTTTTCTAAATTCCAAGACGATATGTTGGTGGTTTGCTGAAGTAGGGACAAGGAAATAGAGACGGGATTTTTGTGAACACAAGAAATGCTCTGCGACGATAATTAGACGGCAAGGTTCACGTAAAAAATCAACGATATGAATTAATATCTTCCATCTAAACTAGGCAAAACAATCTCTTTGACCCGTTGTTCAATTATGTCTAAATTAATAATTACTTGTGGTTCATCCGCATGACTTATGGTTTACAGAGTCGTGTCCCACGCATTGTTTGTCCCATACATCGTGTCCCACGCATTATTTGTACCATACGACGTGTCCCACGCATTATTTGTACCATACGACGTGTCCCACGCATCATTTGTACCATACGACGTGTCCCACGCATCATTCGTCCCATACGTCATGTCCCACCATGTCTCAGGATCACCAAGAGACGTCATATCCCACAGACCTCGAGGGAAGTCTAGAGGCGCGACGAGTTCCTTGAAGAAGTCCTGTGCCATCCTAGCCTGCTCCTGCTCCACGTAGCTCGGGCCGAACCAGAAGCGCAGGTGCCGCTGCTCGTGCGTGTGCTGGCCGGAGCTTCCGCTCACTAGGAACACGCGGAACTCCAGCTGCAGCTGCGGCGCTGTGTCCTCCAGTGCATCTGTGGGCAGTCAGAGTCTGTGATGGTCGGGAAATATTGCGAACTTTGTGATGATTTCAGATTATATTTAATTTTTATGTGGGCCTATTGAATTACCTCAATCATATTGTGTCCTCCAGCGCGTCTGTGGGCAGTCAGAGTCAGTGATGATAAATATTGCGAACTTTATGATGATTTCTGATTATATTTAATGAATATGTGGGACTGTTAAATTATTTCAGTCATATTGTGTCCTTAAGCGCCTCTGTGGGCAGTCAGAGTCAGCGATGATCTGGAAATATTGCGAACTTTATGATGATTTCTGATGATATTTGATATATATGTGGGACTATTGCATTATCTCAACCATATTGTCTGTGGACAGCGCGTTTGTGGGCGGTCAAAGTCATCTTGGGTTTCAAAATTGGTCGGAAATATCATGGAACTTATGATGCTAAATAATGCATGCCTGAAACTATGGAATGATTGCAGTACATTTGAAAAAAGCGTCCTGTAAAAATCCACTATGAAACAAATAAAAAACAGAGAAATAATCAAAATAGTTGTATTTAATACCGAGAGATAAGTGTAAATCAACGATAGTTTTCAGACTAGCTGCGAAGTACTTTGACTTTGAATCGTTAAAGGCCTTATAGAGGCTTTACAACATTCATGACTTGTAACCTGGCGTGGTCGAAAAACAGAAAAAAATGGTTTACTATACAGACTCAAAACAACCAGCTGCCTCCTTATAACCAAGTGCTCCTATAACGATCTTCCTCCTAAAACCAACTGCCTCCTCATAACCAGCTGCCTCCTCATAACCAGCTGCCTCCTCATAACCAGCTGCCTCCTCGATCATAACCATGTGCCCCCTATAACGATCTTCCTCCTAAAACCAATTGCCTCCTCATAACCAGCTGCCTCCTCATAACCAGCTGCCTCCTCATAACCATGTGCCCCCTAGAACGATCTTCCTCCTAAAACCAATTGCCTCCTCATAGCTAACTGCCTCCTCATAACCAACTGCCTCCTCATAACCAACTGCCTCCTCATAACCAAGTGCCTCGTATAACAACCTTCCTCCTACAATCAACTGCCTCCTCAAAAAGATCTTCCTCCCCGAAACCAGCTGCCTCCCACTAACTAAATTCCTCCTCATAACTGCTGACTCAAAAGAAACTGCCTCTTAACATTCACGTGCCTCACGGTAGCAAAGCAACTCCACACAAGATTACGTGCACGGTACGTGTAATGACATCAATCTTGAAGACATCATCCGATGATATCGTGATGATCGCCGTTTTTCCATACATTTCGAACTAGTCAGGAATAAATGACCTCATGGCGCGTATAGTAAAATTAAAACAAATGGTCATACCAGGAGAATCTGCTGTTGGCATGCATCTATAAATCAAGTAAATATCATTTTGATCACAGGGTGAGATGTGATTTACGTTTTGTAATGTGTAAACCTTATTGCTTCCGTTTGTAAATTACTCAAGATCACATCGTCCTTCAGTTATACTTACCGCACCTATAACTGATAAAGACACTTAAATCATAAGAATTTATGGTATCTTGTAACAGGAATAAATCTTGTCAATTTTGTATGTGGAGCAACAGGATGTGTGTACGCGGTACGGCAAATGTATTCACACGAGCCAATACACACAAGATAAGCGCTATCATAGATTAGAACGTGAAAGCTTTTAGAGCACGGCAGGCCAGCCAGATGACCAAATGCAGTTCATAATATCACCGAGCTTCAGGTGACTGATATATCGTGAAGAAAACAAGCAATGAATGCATGAGAGAAAAATATATTTCAGCTATTGGCCTGATGAAGTTAAGCCAATTTCATGTTCACATGGTCGACCCTCATGTTTTGAAAATTATTTAAGATAACTGAGTAAGAAAAAAAATTAGCGTAACAGCTTTCAAGCGCAGGATTCAACCAGATAATACAGCATTTATGAATTGATGTATTATTCTTAAAGAAAATTTTACCTTCCGGAAACAGCAAATGGAAAAAAATTAATCTTGCTTTTGATGTTTTATTTTGAATACCAATGGGATTTCATGCTAGTCAGAATGCTGTTATCTAATTTGAAAGCGAGCCATGTTAATGAACTTTATTATGCAAACTTTTGAAAGAGCCTAAAAGTAAATTATAATATTTTATCTTTGAAGGAATAGAGAGTACGAAATATTCACTATGACCTCGATGGTATGGTAAGTAAAAAGCAGTCCCATATCGCTCGTCATCAAACCTGTCTTCCTCGTCTTTAAATATTCACTATAACCTCGATGGTATAGTAAGTAAAAAGCAGTTCTATCGCACGTCATCCAACCTGTCTTCCTCGTCTTATTGATGACGATGCCCTTGTGTTGTCCACCCCCGACGTGCACGTCACCTGCCTCCTGCGACGACGTCTCCACCTTCAGACGCTCCACCTGCAGCACAGTCGACGTCGCAGTCTTGCTTTTCGGTGTCATCACGATTCGTTCTGTAAGTGTTTTAGCAAATTTGTTACTAAACATTAGAAGAGGCAACATGGATCTTAGACATCGATGTAAGACAATTTTATACGAAGTTAAAAAACACGGAGAAGTATTATCAAAATTAACCGAATACTCTAAGCTATGAACTTGACCTTTTAATTTGACCTTTACGGTCGTTTTTGATGTCGGAAAATCTTACCCTCCATGTCGGAGTTCATTGCGTCCGCTGCGCGCACTTCCAGCGATGGCCGCCGTGGCAGCACGAAGCGGTCTGGAACGACACGAACATCCGTTAAATTATATGGTGTCAGTCCCTAGAGATGAAATCTAAAACACTTAAATCACCATGAACTCGATAGGTAAATGGGCAGAAAAGGAAAACAATGACAAAATCAATTGCGAAAAACCGTACTGAGCAAATGCGGCAAATTATAACACATCTGCAGTTAATGATGTTCCCTTCACATCTCAAATAGTGTAGGTTTCCATTCCAGAGAGATGTCAACAGAACACAATCAAAATGCATGATACAAAAGAGCGCTGTCCATATTTTCAGCAGGGCTAAAAATAATTGAGTCAGGTACCCGGCATTCGTGTGGTGAACATCCGCTGTACCGAGAAGCCATGTGCTCAGCAGCGTCAGCCACAACACTGAACCTCAGGGCATCAGTCATCACTTATATTTTGATTGTGTTCTGCAATTTTTATTTTCATTGTGTTGTGGAAATTTTATTTTGAATGTGTTGTGCAAATCACTGCCAAATGCCCATTTGCAAAGCTGGATTCGATACAAAAGCCGGAGAAAGAGGTACGTAGCTCTCTCCTCGGCCTCCCATTTCTCCACGATTATGATTCCAATTGTTGGATAATGCTAAGGATCCAGCGTTCAGCAGCGTCAGCTGCAACACTAGACAACTTGAAATTTCAAGTTTATGCTTATAGTTAATGCCAGCGAGGATGACGTATATACATAACAGCCAAATAAATTTCGAAACCGACAACAGAGAAACAATTTTGCATGCACATAATTTCTTACCTAATCACGTGTCTAATTTTGCATACAAATGAACAGCATCTTTAAGTTAATTCTGTCGCATATTCATCAAAAACACAAACATCTCCGTTAATTTTCAATGTACTAATGAATACTCTTGGCGGTACGCAAACAAATCTCACTTCATTCCTGTAGCTGCTGCAATGTTGAGCTACTTGTACGTAATTTCTTTTGATCATACAGCAGACCCATTATAATAGCCAATTATTCCAATGCCATTGGCCACAAATAATACCGTATCGGAGGGGTAAATAGATTCGTTCCTTAAAAAATACCAAATATTCTTGATAGATTCACAACTTAATCTTATCATTCTTTCCAGGACAAGGCTGAAGAAAGGACGAGAAATCATGCGAGCACTCGGCAAGCTCGTGACGCACGCAAGTTATGCTAAATCGAATTAATATTCCCTGGAGAAACTGTTTCTAAAGAGACCATGTCTCGTTCAGCATATAATTTACCGGTGATTCACGAATGTAATATATGTACAATGTAGTACGTATAGTACCATTGCATACACGTTAAAGTTTCTAGTATCGCCCCTAGAAAACTAGAATCGAAAAAATTTCTAGTCACTCTATTAATCATGAATATACCATGGATTCCCAACGTTTGTACTCTAATTCCCAGCGTATTGAGTAAAAATATAACTCAGTACTCACTGCAGCGAGTGACAGAGAGCGCATTTTCTCGTCGACGAAAACTTGAGGTCACGGACGGACGGACAGACAGACGGACATGGCGAGCACAATAGTGCATTTTTAGCGTATTTTCTCATTTATGGTAAAAATGCACTATTGTGCTCGCCATGTCCGTCTGTCTGTCTGTCCGTCCGTCCATCCGTCCGTCCGTGACCTCAAGTTTTCGTCGACGAGAAAATGCGCTCTCTGTCACTCACTGCAGTGAGTACTGAGTAATATTTTTCCATAAATGAGAAAATGCGCTAAAAATAGTAATAAGAAACCAACTAGGGAAGCACGATAAAAATGATTCCAATGGCCTCAACTCTTCCTAAAGTTATTAGTTTATATTTGAGTGAATTGTATCCTAAACGGACAGATAGCAGATAAACTCAACCTACGCGTGCCCTCAAACGTCGGGGTGTTGCTAGAACTGGCACGGTAAAGGCCTCTACAGGCACGCAAGCGAAAGTCACGCAAAGCGCGTGGATGTCCCCTCGCTTTAAATGACACACCTTGTTTTATGGCAGCAGTTAGATTCAACAGCTGGAGCGTGTGATGCGTACAAATAAAAACACACAACCGTGTTATGCAAGAGAATAATCCATCATGAGGACTACCGGTATCGAGGACTATGAGGACTATCGCGTAGTATTGGAGGTCTCACGTATTGTGTAAAGGACGAACTATACTTCAACCGAGAACGCGATTTGGTCCTTTGTTCAGTGCACGTTTAGATAACTGCCACTTTGAATGAATATAACCAAAAAAGTTTTCTGAGATTTAACTAATAACTGAAAATGGTGAATTATTGCAAAATAAAAAATATAGAGGCCTATATAAGCTAGTAATCAATAGAATTCTTCGGTAGGAAATTTTAAAAATATATAAATTTCAAATTATCACGGAGAATTTCTCGATCAGAACATGAAGAGCAAAGTTTCGATTGATACCGTAGCTAACATGAAATCTGTAAAATATTACTTATGCCTGACAATTAATTTATAGTCACGTAATAAAAAAGAACAATTCGCTAACATGAAAATTCCTTTAAACAGCCCAATAGGAAATATAAAACCGAAAACTGCCATTTGGCAATAATACCAGTAAGTCTATCAGACCGCGAATAATATCGTCTCAGAAACAGAATAAAAGCTTTCTTATAGGGTTAACTTTGATTCGAAGAATCAGTGTGATTATTAATACTGATGTCAATTTTTACTTGTTCGAAACTATATACTTGAAAACTATACGTACTTCTTTTCATAGTGGTGCGAACATATACAGACGTGACCAAAACATATACAACGACGTGACTAAAATAGGCAGTAATCTGCTCTCCCGGAATAGTAGTGAGTAAACCAACAGCATTACTATCACATTAAAGCGACCAGAGCGTCCCCTTCAAATGAGGGTGAACAATTAATCCTCTCTAGGCACGTCCCCGCGCACTCGTAAAAGTTCGACGAGGCAGAAAGGAGGCGCAATTTCACGGCACAGTTCTTCCCCAGATAAAAAGGGATGCTTAGGGAACCGCGTCGAAATGGAGGTGCGAGCAAGAACATGCCTCAACATTAACGGAGAAGGCCTAAAGGTCTATTTAGAGCTACAGTGCCACTCATCCACGCATTGAGTTGATCCAGTTACTATTGTCGGCCATGGTCAGACCAGTTTTTTCATGATACAGCCTTTCCGTTATTCAAATGATGCACAGACATGCGTTACCTTTAATTAAACGTTCTAAGGGTAATAATGATATCGTCCATTCTGCTATAGTTGTGAATAAAAAAAATCACTATAAGAGAATAATTAAAATATATTTATGATGATACGAAATTATTGAATAGATTTTCCAACATAACTGATTAAGCAAAAATCCAAAGGGTCAGGCAAATAAATGTTAAATCTTTTCACTCTAGCCGACCGACAAATGCGTACGATGAACACGTGACCAGAGCAGCATTTCTGGGATCTGCGAGAACACATATATTCTTGCGAGCAACGACAAGGGAAGGCTTGGAAGAAAATCAAGTCTAACTTTGTCGTGCGCTGCGCGTTAGTGAGGAAATGGGACGAGTTACTACGGCTCAGTAGATTAGCGCAAGCTAACGGGTGGGAAACACTATAATAGTCTATATACATACTTCCAATACAATACCAAAGTAATGCAATATTTCATTTTACTAATTGTCTACTTAAATACTTTCGACGACATATTCTAATGTCGAATATCATGATACATATTTGACGACCATTTTGGGCGGAGCCCAGACCATAAATTTAAGATAGTTCATTTAGAGATCAATAACTTGAAAGGTATTCAAATTTTTCTTTTAGATAGTGCATAATTCTTGCACATGAAGAAACATTACGTTTAAGTTCATTATACGAAAAAGCAATTAACTTTCCGATTTTGGGTTGGCCTCTATGACATGTTGCGTTTAATTAAGAGACAAACTCATTATACTTCAGAGTCAGTTTTCGTATGCAGCTCGTGCTTCACGACTTGAGTATATCATGAGAAAGTTACAGCTGACGTCAGAGAGATGGGCACGTTCCTGACCACGTCATGAGCGTGGGCAAATTTGGGCATGACATCGTCATCGTCTTACTCAGCGACGATGAGACATCCAGGAAGTTATTTCTTATTCTTACTCGCAACTCTGCATGAATTTCATTATTTTAGTACGTAATCACATCTGTAAATGAGAGATTAGTGCTTGACGGCACTCGCTGTCCTAATTTTTTTATTAGAAAAGGATTGTAGTCAGACTAGTGATTATTTTATATTTATTGTTGAACATCAAGGCATATAAATTCATCAGCATTGGTAGCGCCGTTGAAAAGAAATACCTGCATGTAAGCCAATAACGTTTGTAGTTGTTCTGTTAAAGTTAAACCTTCGAAACAAACTGGTTAATTAAACATTGAACAAACTAGTGAATTTCCATTGGAAGCGGCAATAATTCCGTCGCACGTACCTTGCAGCGAACACCAGCGATCGGAACTTCTGCCAGTATATATAACGGACGTCTTGATATAAAAAGGAAAGCATTCTCATGAACGCAAAAAACGACCAGGAAAAGAGAGATCATCGGCAGTAGCAATATTAAGATCTGCAGATTGTAGTGCCAAAAATCGAATTAAGTCGGAGTTTTTGAGGTCCCGGAGATTATATTTAACAAAATTTTGTTTGCTTTGAAAAGCAGAACTGCCAGAATAACAGCCATGTTTGAAGCGTTTGCACAGCTGAGCTGGGGCGAAAGTCTAATGATGTGCTTAGCGCGCAACTGTTTACCCCGCGCGCGGTAAACACAAGTCCACGTGTTGAAGAAAACACGCAATTACAGCAACCATGAGCACGAGCAGCACGCTTACGTGTTGCCCTAACACGTCAAGATCCTGCAGCGAAAAGTAAGCAAACAACTGACAAGTTCACGGCCACTTAAGATAACACAGCCAAAACTCGTACACGACTGCATAAGTTCAACACACAATAACGGTTGTTAGGAAATTAAATGGATCGTCAATGGAAGC